TGGGGGTTTGGGGTTGCGGGTGGCCCTCCCCCGCTTTCCGCATAGTTGTGTTAGTGTGGGTTGGCTTGCCTTTGCATACGGGCTGGTAGGACCGTTTTGGGCCAAGCTTTGTCATCCCAGAACGCCCATGCCGTCTTCTCCACTATGTAAACTGGTTAGCACTCGGGCTTTGCCGTATCTCGCTGTAAATGGCTCATTCCGGCCTCTATCGAAACTATGGTCATAGGGATTTGTCGATGTTCTTGCTCCCTCGACTCACACACCATATTTGAGAGGTGGGTGCTTGATTTCCTGCAGCTGCCTCGAAGGCATGGAAGCACGGAAGGGTGCTCAGGAGATCGGATTGCCATTGTCTATTCCCCTTGCCCTGTGGCGCGCACTAGCTTTAGCATCCTCCTGCTAAGCGGCGAAATGAAACTAAACCTCGTACCCTACACCCCAAATCCTAAACCCACACCCCAGACCCGTGATTTCCCTGTGTACCTCCCTCGCCCAGACTTGCTATGGGTTCTTTGTGAAAAAGTGTTCAAAGCAGGTGTGTCTCAGGCCTGTATGAAAAAAGAGGAGTTGTAACAGGATCCTAAGTGGGGATCCCTTTCGTGAAGTGCATGCAGATTACCTTCACAAACCCAAGACTCAAGACTCAAAATCAAAAACCCTAAACCCTGAACGGGTATCAAGAGCTCAGGACGGCATGTTCCATGCGACGGGAAAGCAACGGCGATGAGAGCTACCGAAGAAGTAAAAGTTCAGGAGCCCAGAAGTAATGGCTGTCAACCGAAATCTTAAAAGCAAGCCAATAAAATCCAATGAAGCATCAATGATATGTACAAGCCCAATCAGAACCCTGAGCACAAGGTTTTCTCAGGGATTTGCCAGCACGCGCCCGCGCGGCGCCTAAATCACTCTCAAATGGCAATTTCTAGGTTTTGAGGGATGCTTGGAATGTACCTTAAGAAGCAGGAGCTTCAGAAACCATGTGCGATCTGACAGGCACAGACTCTTTCCCTCCTTCAGGAAGCCCACGTCCTTTTACGGACTGTGCAGACTAAAACCAGGCCCTGCTGGCTTGCACAATTTACTTCACGCTCGTGGGCCAATATCACACTGCCTTACCAGTAAGGACGCGGCTGCTGGCTGGCCCAGAGAGCACGCACGGCTAATTGAGTTGGGTACGGTATGCCTGCTGGTGGATTTGCGGCTCGTGCAGATTACTCCAACACACGCCTCAAAACACTAAAGATGCCCTTGAGATGATGGCTTGGACGTCAAATGACGTCAAGGTTGCAGGGCTTAGCATTCACTCCTTGCGGGTGACGTTTGTGCTTCGAGACTTGGGCTGTAGGGTTGGAGGCCTCTTTCCCATTAAAAACAACAAGCATCCGATTGAACCCCAAAAAGGTTCCAGTCCAAGTTCTCAACATAATTAGTGCCCATACGACCCCAATCTCGGGACCCGAAACATGACACCTTAGTCCCACTCCCAATACAAACCACTTTCCCGTCTTTGGCAAGCTGAGACTGTAACGTAGAACTTTCAGCTGATGTTGTCCGCATAGACGTACCTTGCAATTCCACATTGTTTTGGGGCCAAAGGTTGCGGTTGAGGGAGCCCACGCGGCGACACTTTACGAGCCTGAGAAGTCATGAAACTTCCTTGCGCAAGGAAGCTCTCTCATCTATCCAGGGCTAGATTATGTTGTTGCTGATGATGGTGCACTGCCCTGAATCTGACACAGCAATACCCTAGCTTGTCAATCATATGCGAACCCGTCTGTAGATGATGCAACCTCTCAATATCCTTCGAAACCACAGCTGAACATGGGGTGATTGAGTTTCCTTTTCTTGAGCTATCTCTCAACAGATTTCGGCGATTGCTAGATCAGATGTCTAGTGAACAGGTCCTTGTTGCAGCCATGGCCTGGAAGATGCTTGATAAGGGGAATGTGAAGCCGTATAGTTGCTGACAACTGTGTCTTGAAGCCCTGTCTGACAGATCGGCCTTTGCAAATTCTATCGAATCGTTCCCAGTCCTGCCGAAACAAGAGCCACGCTGTTGGCACTATTAGTCGGTGATGCTGGCTGCTATGCGCTGCTGTCTGACAGAGCCCGTCGCGTCCACCTCGCACCCGTAAAGGCCGGTCCTTCAAGCGGAAGCAAGCATCGAAGAGGGCGTCGAACAAGCTGTCATCCACTTCCTCAGTCTGGATTTCAACACTTGCGGATTCCGGAGGCTTTCGGCCGGCCTCTGGTTGCAGCAAGATGAATCGTTCGACCAGATGGAGTGCCCTGCAGGCCCTCCTTGTGTCGAGCCTTGTCTCTGGGTACGGTTACTCGCAAACGGACATGTCTCTTTGGTTGATAACGCTTCTACCTTGTTGGCTAAATAGTCCCCTGTTTATTGTACACTGCAGAAGACTCAGACGAAGATGGACCCTTGTTTTGCACAACCTTCCCAACAGGCTCATGCTGAGTAGGCATATTGCAAAACAAATGCGAAAACCCATAATACGGTTGACCTCATCTGGCCTTCTATGTAGAACCCTTTGCTTGGTCAGATTTCGAGAGAATGGCAAGGCATGGTAGCAGGAAGCCTGGGTACAATGGGGACACAAAACTTCAGGGTTACCTGGAACCTGTGCCGACCAAATATCAGTCGCCTATCAGAATGCCTGAGATTGCCCTACTACGGCCTTTTCGCGCGAACCTTCGAACCTAGCCTCTAGAGCTTAGGCAGTTGGGGTTTGGGGCGTTTCAGGTGAGAACTTAACTAACTTAAGCATATGAATCCATACGGCGCCTCAATGCGGAGCTCATCGGGAGGACAATGGAAGGAACCTTGGAGTTTCTAGCCCTCAGGGGCATGGGGAGCAAACGAGGAGGTATGTCAACACACACGTTGAAAGTATGTAGTGCAGCAAATTACACTCGGACACATTGTGTTAAGTTCCAAGCAGTGCCTGTCAATGTCATCTGTTCTGGAACATTGGAGCCAAACATACATCCTGAACCTGGTGCTCACAGGCACAAAACCCTTGAGCACCTTTGACGTCAACACATACCACAAATCAAACCCTACACCTATAACCAGCAGAAACGCCTCCTCCCCAAACTCCGTACCGTAGAGTCTCGAATACACTTTCCTACCCAAACTCTTAACCCCCAAACCTTCTAGGTGTCCTCTATCACGCTCTTGGGGGGCTTCAGGTGAATTCTCCTGTATTTCAGTGGGACTTAAAACCTTGGATTCAACCCTCATGCTGGGGCCGTTCTGTTTGCATTTAACCCTCCTTCTGTTTGGATGTACCCCTCGGGCATTAGACCCTCATTCTGGAGCGTTAAAACATCTGTTTGTTCCGAGATTTCACTCTTTGGTTGGGCCTCTGAAGCCGCGTGTTGGGTCGAACTCTTGTCGGGTCTCTTTCCTCAAGGACTAAACAAGCATTTCGGAGATTTAGCACTTGGTATTGTTTTTGGGTGGGGTTAGGGGAAATGTAGCACGTTTTCTGTGGATACTTGAATTTTGCGGATTGTATTAACCTTCGTTTTGTGGTTATTTAACCCCTTTGCTGATGATATCTAGCCTTTATTTTCGTGATATTCAACCCTTGTTTTGGTGATGTTTAACCTGTGTTTGGTGCAAATTTAACTTGTTGGAGACATCCAACCTTTATTTTGGCAGGTTCAAACCTTATATTTGTTGTACTTAATCCTTTTTTTGGATATTTAGCAATGATCTTTGGTGGGTAGACTTGATTGGCCCTTGGATATTTAGCCCTTATGCCCTTATTTTTGGGATATGTAGCGCTTTTTGCAAGACATCTATAGTTAACTAATAGTTAATTAACCCATCCAAGCGAAAGCAAGTCTCCCGAAATAAAATTCAATCTGACCCAAAGTAATCGTCAAATTTCCAAAAGAACGGGTTAGCCGCCACCCCCAACCCAAACCCACTCAACGACCACGTGCTGAATCTCTCTGAGGGCGGATCAAATGCTTGCCAAATCACCTCATTCAACACCCATGCAAAGTCAAAACAGAACAATAGCAAACAGCAAGGAGCGCAGCTGCAACGGCAAAGCCAGTCGCGGCGCGCTCGGAGTTCCCAGCAACCCGCATGGTCAACATTTGAGAAGCCGCAGTGTGGGTGCAATGATCCAGCAGCACAATCTCGGGACCGGGCTGTATGCGAAGATCTTGCAGAAAACGTTGAGGCCCGGTTTGAGCACACAAGAGGACGGCATCGGACAAACAAGTAATAACTAACACACCAATTCCCAAACCCTAAACCCGAATCACTGTGGTTAGACCTGCATGGGAACCGTGCCCACCATGCCTTTCAAACTCTAGGGCCCCCCCCCCCCCCGCCCCCTCCCCTCCAACAATAGAGCACTTCAGAAAAAAAACTATTAGACGTCCTGAAGAAGGGTCCCACGGTACTGGGGAAGCCTGGGGGAATATTTTGAAAGGGATGGTCTGGATTCGGTCCTGTGTTTTCAAGGCCCCAACATCAAAACATGTTGTGCAACGTCTTCCAAACAACTCCAGACTTTGAATATGTAGCGGCCAAAACATGCCCAGCCCACCTTCACCTTCTCGGCTTGCGCTCGCTTGCCTCGGGGAAAACAGCCACGAGCTCCCTTGCTCGTATGATGTCTTTCCGACGGAGCCGTGGCTGCAGCTACGAGTTTCCATGGCCTATAGGGCTCCATCGAAATGCATGAATATTGCGTTTATGCTGACAGTGTCACGCAAGCTGGGCCACAAGCTCGTGCCGCCCTGCCCACCGGTGACACTGCACCTGACAAGATGCGATAAGATGCTCGGCTCAGGGGCACCTCTCGCGAATTGGGTGTCGCATGTACTTCAGCGCTGAGGAGTTTTAAAGCGTACAGCGCGAAGTTTAAAGGAATGCTACGCTTGGGACTTGGGACTGCGCCATTCTTTGCAGAAGATTGAACCTGGAGCCGATGCTCAGCTTGGCACGAGCCGAAGGGACCTCATTCGTCCCACTCGCCCTCTATGCAGGCCTCGGCTGTGCCAAGCTCGCGGGAGTTTGTAATTTGTGACATGGTGGGAATCTATAGAGGCAAGGCAGACTCTGAGCTTCCATCGGCCGACTTTGCGCAAGACTTCGCCCATCTCAGATCCCGGACAACCTGGAGGCGGCAGAAGTGCAGGGAGCCGACTGTACTTCCCTGGCTCAAGAGAGTAGCCTCTTCTGCAGGAAGCGGATCACATCGCCCACCTCTGCCCACCGGAGTCACCTGAGTGGACAAATCTGAGTATACCGTAAACTCAGTGCAACTTAGGAGAAAGAGCAGCTTTCGAGCCCGCTGAGCTTCGCGGCAAGCTGCCGCGATCTTGCGAGATCGCGACCTGTAGCCGAGACGACGGAAGGTCGCCTGGTGCATCAGGGAGGCTTCTGCCAGTTTGAAGCAGACTTGAAGAGTAGGTGCCTTCGGATTTGTGGCTTTCTTAACACTACCCGTGAGTCTACTTTGGGCTACCAAAACTTGCCTTTTTGTACGGCTCCAATAAATTGCCTGTTCGGGGTTTGTAATGAAAGCCTACAAACAAGTAAGCTATGGTAGTTTAAGGTAGGGTTTGGAGTATCGTAAGAACACTCAGACCGGTCCTCTCAGCCGTCGATTGATTCCCATCAGCACGGATACCAAAAAACAACCAAAATCCCGAATCCCCGACAACTTGATCCTTGTACCAGTTGCACCGACAAGCCCGAAACCCTAAAGAAAAACACTGAAATCCTAAAAGCCCTTACTGGACCTAACCCCCAAAAGAGGTAATTCTTCCAACTTTGGAGCCCCGAATCCATCATAGAAGATCATCGTCTACTAGGTTTAGGGTTTTAAGGGTCCCTGGCATCCCCTTCACAACTGGGGTAGCCCAGTTTCCCTCATATTCTAATATCTTTTAACAAGTCTGGTGGGGTATATTTGGGGAATATCGATGAAACAGGACTATACAGCGCTAGCGGATATATTTAAGCCGAAAAAAGCTCCAAGCAGTGTCCTGAGCACTTTTGGGGTTTAGGGTTTACGGCTATAAGAGATACAGTGTGTTGCCTGAATATGAACGACAACTGATACCATCTTTGACACTTGGATGTGTCTCAATCGGGGTCCACCAAACTACTTTATTCCTAATACTAGCCCCAAAAGCCCAGCCACAATCTTGAGAGTCCTTGCAGGTACTGCCAAGACTTTCAGCCACCGAGCAGCGAGCATCTTCGCCGCAAGCAAAATCTTCAGATATTGCAAGCACGCGGCTACTGGGCTTCCATGCTGTTGACTTGTTATCATGTGGCAACGTCTAATATAGGGGACTTAATAATTTCAATTGGGTTTTGGGTCTACTATCGTTATAATAAGGAACCCCGAAAACAGTGTTGGTAATTCTGAAGGCCCTTATACTACATCATGAGGGTGTTCTGGCTGCTACCATCAACAGAAGATGTTAACTGTTAACCTCACGGGTAATGTGAATAATATACCAAGACAAGGTCTACAAACAACAACAATAGAAGCAGTCTCTGTTGCACGGTTTTCGAATCTTTCGAAGGCTGGCAGGAGAGGGGGGCTTGCAGACATTAATGGCTCAAAAGTTTGTGTGGGACTACAGTGCGGGAGCAGTACTCTCGGAGGGCTGCAAAGTTTGACACAAGCTAAGAGCAACAACAACCATAATAATGTAGGGGCCTTAATGATTACCAATACTATTTTAGTGGTTCCTCGTTGTAGTTATAGTATAATGGGCCCCAAAACCCTCTTTTCGGTTTTATTAGGGCCCCTATATTAAACTGCAGCTCAAAGCCCATGAACATTACTAAATTGAAGTCCGCAGCTTCCGGAATTGCACGCCCGAAGCGGCTCATGTTGTTCTTCGAAGACATGGAAAACTAATACCCGATTCTCCCTAGGGCGCAGCCAGAGGTTACTAGATTCAACAAATGTGTACATCCTAAGTTATCCACCCTGAACCTTGAATCCTAGAATGCTGCAGCATCCCACGCCCTACTGAGAACCAAGGCCTGTATCGTGAATTTGCCGCCGGTGCCAACAAATGCAGCTAAGAGGTTCCGACCGCTGCTACTTGGCGAGGATCTCTGCAATGCATCATGGCGTGTTGCACACAAGAGAAGGGATGGATTACGGTGCTGCACGTGCTCCAAAGCAATCAACCGGCACAAGACATCGAGGAGTCTCATCACGAGACACCTACCAAGAGCCGAATGGGTAAGTCTCGATGGGGTGGGCAGGTCGTCGCAACGACTCCTATGGCTGCTGGCACAACTGTTCCATACATGAAAACTATAGACATCCCCACCACTATCCCCGAGAAGCAGTACCCTGCGGCGCTCTACGCATGTCTATGTTCAAAGCTGCATTGAATTCCAGACCCCGCGGTGCTGCAGCTGTGAAAGTGGGCAGAAAGGCTGGAAGCAATATATCTTCGCAGAGAAGGGGACCTACACTACAGTACCCTAGACCACAACCTCCAAACTCTGACACATTCACGTGGCTCTGCCGCATTCTGCCGCGCTGACGCCGGTGAGTGAAGGACACGCTGGGGTGTTGCACGCATTTTGGGCTTCCCACGGCACGTCTTTCGCAAGGAGCTCAAGCGTATCCCAGCACGTGTTCACTAGTTGTCCACGGGATTGTAGCCAGTCCCTGCATCTCGGGGGCCTTTGCCTCCAGGCTGCGACCCCATGAGGTTTGGCAAACCCGTGTTGGGAGGACCAAAGATCGCCGCCTGTACAGCTGGATGTTGGCTCGTGGCTGCGAGGGCCCCGAGTCCGAGAACGCAAACCACGATGATGGCAATCAGCAACCAATTCACACCCCCTGCATCAGGCTTTGCCACGGGCCTGGGTTCTTGTGTGGGGCTGGGCTTCTTCGCGCAATTTTGCATCAGCTGGTCAAGCCGTTTTGAGGCATTGACAATTGAACTGTTGCGTCTGGAGATACATTGGTGGGGGTGCCAGTGAAGATGGCCTGGTACTCCCACCTCGCTCTCGCAGGTTAACGAGAAGTTCGCATGACGGCCTTTCAGGGCTCTGGAAGAAAAGCTGGAATTTCCTGTTCATTAACAGTGGATTTGTTGTGTTTTGCCCTGGGCTGCACATGCCGCACTCTGCGACATCAGGATTAGCGGATCAGGAAACGAAAGCAGCAGAGGCCCAGCAGAGGAGCGAGAGGACCAAGGGGCTAGAAGACGAGAGGACCATACAAGTGTGACCCAACAGATCAAAAGACCTATAAAAGTCCTTATTGAAGTTGAATACTCCCCCACCTCGCAAGACATGCGCGTGCCGCTCAACCATGTCGTTCTTGCAGCCCTCCGCAAGGCGGTCGAATTGGCTGGTGAAGGAATCATGGCTGACCTTGAGGACACAGTGGTACTCCGCCAAGGGCGAATGCTTTTCGTGCATCTTCAACGCTTTGTAGTTGTTGTAGACCGTGTTATGCTCAAAGAGGTCCTCGTGGTGGGTAAGCCCAACCCAAAGCTCGCAGCGCTGTTCTTTTTCGGGGCCGAGCTCGTAGCCCTTGCATTCCGACCACTCGGCACAACGTTCCTCACACTTTTCAGGGCTCACTCCATCCTCGGTGGCTGAGTATTCTGGCCCCCAAAAAAGTTGACCTTGTCATTTATGGTAGACTTTATATAAAACCCAAAATGTTAAAGGTAACCTGCTCAGCTACCAAGCATCCTTCTTCGGGTTCGTGTTAGACAGCACCATTCCCTCTTTGCCCGTGGGCCCCAGGTGGGCATCGACCTGGGGCCAGGTGATCCGCAATCCTTGCAAGAAGTCAAGGAGGTGGTCGTGCTGACGCCAGAGCCCATGGCTTCAAGGGCTCAAGAACTACCCGGATTCCGCGCTGCCTTTTGGGAGTCTGCCAAAATGGCTCATATCGGCGAATACAGAAGAGCTTTCGGGACATTTCAAGTTTCAAGCGTCCTGGACAACAGTGAAGACTCAAAAACAAACCAACTTACATCATCATCATCATCACCATCATCATCATGGGCTCTGAGAGCTGCACCGGCCAACAGTTTAAATCAGCCTGGCTGTCAGCTCAAGCGGCCCGCTCGGTATGTTAAAGGCTCTCAAAGTCTGCACTTCATCCCGCGGCCGGCATCATCCCACCGCTTACGTGAAGGCCCGACGACTGCAGACCAGCGAATGATGCAGACGCTGGATCAACAAACCCTAAAGCCCCTAAACATCCTGCAACCCTATCAACAGAACTCCCGCCCTTGAGGGGCCTAAGCCAAGAACAGAAAGGATCCTGCTCAAACCACATAGTGACTCCTCCACTGTCCCTAAACCCTAAACTGTGCCGTCTGCCTGAAAAGCCAGGGCTTGGCAACGAAGTCACGGCGGCGAGCCTTTCGGCAAAAGGCTTTGCTGAGGTTTAACACGGCTTATCGGAAGCGGCTGTATGAGGCTTAGCCTGCAAGGGCGTTTGAAAAAAGGTTTCATCATGCGCAGAGGTTTTAACGAAGATTTTGTACTCAGCATCGACAAATGTATTCTGCCTTCAAGGTTTGCCGACTTTCAAGAAGATCTGAAGTTAGGATCTAGGGATTTCGTGAGTCCGTATAGGGCTAGGGCTTTAGACTTTCATAGGATGTCGGCTTTTAAAGTACGGGGCTTTAGGGTTGTACACAAAAGTCTTGCGGTGATGAGGTTCTACTGTCAGTGTTGGGGCTGTTGGGCATCCCTCCGGATGAGGAGGCTCACGGAAAGCGACAGTGCCTGCAGTGTTCTCTCAGAGGGCAACATAGCAGGAGTCTTGCAGCAGATAGGCCATCCCCCCTGGCCCTTCCCATGCAGCCTTAACGATAAGTTGCAGTGTGCCTGGTCTGGGGCCTTGGGTTTCATGGGGGCGTTGGAGACTTTCCTGTAGGGGCCTTAGTAATTAGCAATAGGGCTTTCAGGCCCATTATACCATGATTATACAATGGAGCCCCAAAAATAGTATAGGTGATTATTAAGGCCCCCTATATTCGTAGAAGCCCTGGCCTGGCTGAGCTTCTGCTGCGGTCGAGGCGAAGTTAGCGAGGCCATCGCAGCATCACCTGGGAGAGTGGAGAACAGATCCGGCAGCCGCAGTGTGAAGGAATGCGAAGGGAGACCGGACGTGAGCTGCTGGGCGCCGCAAAAGACACCGAAAAATGGTTGTGAAAGATGTAGTTTGAAATGCCAAATCATGCCATTTTCCTCTCTCTCGCATCTCGAGCATCCAGCAGCAGCGCCTACATTCGCCGGCGCCGCAGCGGCAACAATGCGAGCAAGGCAGGAGGACCAAGCGAATGCGAGGGTGCGAGGGTGGAAGGGTGCAAGTCGCAAGAAGCTTTGGTAGTCGTCTTTTAAGGATTCGGGGGAGGTAGCCAAGGAGCCTTATAAGGGATCTATCAGGTTCTATGAGAGTTCCTTTTAGGGGCGGTATCAACATCAGCCCTCTCCCAACATTCAGAAGCCCTGGAAGCTCCAAGGCGCCGTCTTCTCCTGCCATGGCTAGGCCCTAGCCTTACAATCGCCAGGCCGGAACAGGCCATAGCCACAGCCGAAAAGCAACGCGAGAAGCTCAGACTTGGGCTTAGGCAAAAACTGCAGTCGAATTTCCTAAAAAGGCCTTCTTCTGTACAGAGTCGCTCTAGGGAGATACTCCTAGCATCGTAGCCTTCCAATCATCCGTGGAATGCTATTACAGGTTTTTGCCGAACTCTCCGCCCCTTCTTCGATTATTACCGAACCGGCCAGGGTCTGTGATGTGGCGGCTTCGGCCACCCTTCCTGTTCCTTCGATCGTCAATGCTAAGTTCTCGGATAACCCGCATAGGCGGCGAAGGGGGCCTCCGTTCCTTGTTCTTTCGAGGCCTTTCGTCCTCCTCCAAGAACAAACTGTCACGGCTTGAACTTAATCTCTCTTTGGGCGATTGGGACTTAGCAGCCTGATGCGCCTGCTCGCGCCGCTGCCAGGCCTCCTCTGACAGCTTCAAGAGTTGGTCTCTGCTTACATCGAGGAGGGTTTGGAACTGCTCCAACACTTGCTTCACCTTGTCGGCAATAGCTGCCTCCGGGTCCGTCTTGTCTCCCTTCAGCCCTTTGGATGTTATCTTGCTCTTCAGGAGGGCTTTGAAGTCTTTGAAGGCAGACTCCGCGGCCTCCCTCGTAGCCTTTTGCGGTCCGACCTTGCTTTTGTTGCTCGGTGCACCTGGCTCTTCCACTGTAAGCTCCATTCGAAGATTGTCGATGGCCTCGGAAGCCACCCGAGCAAACTCGCGCCGAAGCTCCTTGGGCCCATCGGCGGCCAAGCCCTCCAACTCCATGAAGTTCACCACTCCATACTCCTCAAACAGCACCTTCAGCTCGCCAAGCACACGAACGAAGTTATCCGCACAGCCATCTGCGAACTCAGTGCTTTTCTTGGTACTAGTTAGGTTGATCTTGACCGCTGGCATCGATTTCAACTCAAGGCTGGAGGCCTCGTCCGAGCCGCTGTCGATGTCCCTTGTCCCCCTCGATTCCATCTCGGCATTCAAGTCCTGCGAGGCTGCTCGCTCAGACCCGGAATCGGACTCCGCGGTGCCCTCGGGGGGAACCTTGAAGTTAAAGAGCTTGAAGCGACACTTCCGTGCCGCCTTTCCCTGCGGCCAATCAGGACGCCGAGGATAATGCCCGGTGCTTCTGGTTTGCCTGGTAGCCACGGATGAACGGGCGTGACTTTGAAGGTCCCAGCATGCCACCGGGTTTGGAAATTTTATGGGCTCAAGATCTCTCGAGGGCCTTCCGGACCGCAAACACTCCATCACCAGCGCTGCGTACTCAGATAAATAAACAATCAGCCCTTTTCGCAGCCGTGCGAGTTTGTCGTCCAAGCTATCCTTGTGAAGCAGGAAGCGCTCTGTGTCCTGGAAAGAGAGCAGCAGGATGGCTCCTTTGGCATACTTCGGCCTTAATGTGTTTCTGAATGTTAAGTTCATGCCCCTTGCGATGCTCAGGATCGACCGGTGATTGTCTGCGAGGCCTTGTTCCAAGCTGAGAGCCTTCTGACCCAGCATGTCCCTGGCATCCTGGATCACCTGGCGGACCTCTTTGTGCTGAGTCTTCCTTTCTTCGATCGACATCTTCATCACGACAGCCTGGAGTCTTTCTATGTCTTCGATGACAGGCACCCCGAAGGCCTGGAGAAGACGTTTGTAGTTCCCCCTCGCCTCCATCACCTCCACCTTTACCTCCACCATGGCACCACTCCTGTTGGCGATGGGACAGACGTCTCGGGATGTCTCGGGCCAGAAGCAATCAAGATCAACATGTCAGTGTCGTGTGGGCCATACTAATGACCCTGACTATAACCACAAAACTTCCACGACCATCTAATAGTGCGGAGATGTTCCGTCGCGAGCTCCACCGTCTCCAGACCTACTTCGTGTGACTCGTGCGAGGCACTTGCAGAGCCCAGTTTGAAGTTTCTTTTGCCCTGTGCCCCTCTGCCGCAACTAGAATCCGCCGTTTACACCTGGACTATGCATATGCAAGGAACTAGAATCCCCCTTTTTTCCCTAAGCCCATTCCATGCCAAGTCGCTGGAGCCCTGGCGTCCGAAGAAGCCACGCTCTTTGGATGCTCTCAATTCTGCCTGCGGCAGCTGCACCCTCCAATGTTAAACGATTGTGAGTTTCATATAGTTTCATTGGGTTGGGACGAGAATTAGCCGGTCCTGGGGTCTATTTTTTTAGGGCTTCGGGCTTGGAATAACTCTCCAGAAAGACGGCGTTTAATCGGAGTCCCTGAAGCCTCTTGGCTGAAAGCTTTGGGACTAAGCAGTTTCAGAGTCCGGCGTCTCTCTAAAGCCTAAACCCTAAACTCACCATCACCATGACTACACACTGTCATGCTAGTAAGGCTCAGAGCAGCACCCCTGTTGCACCGGACCTCCCGCAACTTCCACTGCATAAGCACAGACCTGTGCCCAAGCATATCAAAAAACTGGACGTCAAGAGCCCAAGAGCTTCAAATAGATGTACTTCCCAGAACTGCACAAGCGGCCTCCATCGCATCGGACAGAAAATAGAAGCCGCCGTGGTCAGATTCTCAGCAACGTCCACATGAGTGAACGAGCCACCCTGTTCACAGTCACAACAGGAAACCCGCGGTCAATTATATTATATATTGTTACCAATGATTCAGGCCCTATTATACTTGTCGTTGTTATGATTGTCATTCATATTAATAATGTAGTTAATGATTGTCCCAAACCACTATATACTCCATCATACCTTCACATTCTCACCTCTCGGCCTAGAGTCGCTTTGCCGACACGGCCGGATTTCGTATTAATTGGAAAGTATACGCTTAAATACTGGCTGCGAAGTAACAATAACAACCTGCAAGCATAGGTCATATATGGGTATGTCTTCACATAGACATCATCCTTATAAACCGCAAGGACCTAAACCCCTTCTCGGGGGAATCCGAAGCAATCCCATCCTCGCTCCTCCACGGGCGCCCGCATAGTTTGGGGTTCAGGCGGGTCAACGTTAACAGCTACGGATGCATTTTGAGTCTATTTCGCCCTGATCGGACCAGGGGAATGAAATCGGGCTGGACATGGTGCGCTTTACCGCGAAAGAACCAGACAGTGTCAAGTACTTCCCCGCTTCTGAAATTACAAGCAAGTAGGACTGGTGAACAACACAAAAAATTGTAAAACAGGCCAAAAAAAACATTATATGACATCCACATAGCATGACAGCCAGAAAGGTACGTGTGGCGCTCAACGAGCTCGAGATTCTTGAAACCAATCTAACAAGCCGAAAAAGGCTCCAAGCAGTGTCCTCGATTCTTTGCGGCTGTAAGAGATACAGTTTGCTGCCTGAATATAAACGATAAGTGGTACCATCCTTGACACTTGGATGTGTCTCAAACGGGGTCCACCAAACCATTTTATTCCTAATACTTACCCCAAAAGCCCATCCACAATCTTGAGAGTCCTTGCAGGTACTGCCAAGACTTTCAGCCACCGAGCAGCGAGCATCTTCTCCGCAAGCAAAATCTTCAGATATTGCAAGCACGCGGCTGCTGGGCTTCCACGCTGCTGACTTGTTACCATGTGGCAACGTCTAATATAGGGGACTTAATAATTAGAATTGGGTTTGGGGTCTACTATCGTGATAATAAGGAACCCCGACAACAGTATTGGTAATTCTGAAGGCCCTTATATTACATCATGCGGTGTTCTGGCTGCTACCATCAACAGAAGATGTTAACTGCTAACTTCACGGATAATGTGAACAATATACCAAGACAAGGTCTACAAAAAACAACAATAGAAGCAGTCTCTGTTGCACGGTTTTCGAATCTTTCGAAGGCTGGCAGGAGAGGGGGGCTTGCAGACATTAATGGCTCAAAAGTTTGTGTGGGACTACAGTGCGGGAGCAGTACTCTCGGAGGGCTGCAAAGTTTGACACAAGCTAAGAGCAACAACAACCATAATAATGTAGGGGCCTTAATGATTACCAATACTATTTTAGTGGTTCCTCGTTGTAGTTATAGTATAATGGGCCCCAAAACCCTCTTTTCGGTTTTATTAGGGCCCCTATATTAAACTGCAGCTCAAAGCCCATGAACATTACTAAATTGAAGTCCGCAGCTTCCGGAATTGCACGCCCGAAGCGGCTCATGTTGTTCTTCGAAGACACGGAAAACTAATACCCGATTCTCCCTAGGGCGCAGCCACAGGTTCAAGACTAGATTCAAGAAATGTGTACATCCTAAGTTATCCACCCTGAACCTTGAATCCTAGAATGCTACAGCATCCCACGCCCTACTGAGAACCAAGGCCTGTATCGTGAATTTGCCGCCGGTGCCAACAAATGCAGCTAAGAGGTTCCGACCGCTGCTACTTGGCGAGGATCTCTGCAATGCATCATGGCGTGTTGCACACAAGAGAAGGGATGGATTACGGTGCTGCACGTGCTCCAAAGCAATCAACCGGCACAAGGCATCGAGGAGTCTCATCACGAGACACCTACCAAGAGCCGAATGGGTAAGTCTCGATGGGGTGGGCAGGTCGTCGCAACGACTCCTATGGCTGCTGGCACAACTGTTCCATACATGAAAACTATAGACATCCCCACCACTCTCCCCGAGAAGCAGTACCCTGCGGCGCTCTACGCATGTCTATGTTCAAAGCTGCATTGAATTCCAGACCCCGCGGTGCTGCAGCTGTGAAAGTGGGCAGAAAGGCTGGAAGCAGTATATCTTCGCAGAGAAGGGGACCTACACTACAGTAACCTAGACCACAACCTCCAAACTCTGACACATTCACGTGGCTCTGCCGCATTCTGCCGCGCTGACGCCGGTGAAGGACACGCTGGGGTGTTGCACGCATTTTGGGCTTCCCACGGCACGTCTTTCGCAAGGAGCTCAAGCGTATCCCAGCACGTGTAAACTTCACTAGTTGTCCACAGGATTGTAGCCAGTCCCTGCATCTCGGGGGCCTTTGCCTCCAGGCTGCGACCCCATGAGGTTTGGCAAACCCGTGTTGGGAGGACCAAAGATCGCCGCCTGTACAGCTGGATGTTGGCTCATGGCCGCGAGGGCCCCGAGTCCGAGAACGCAAGCCACGATGATGGCAATGAGCAACCAATTCACCCCCCCTGCCGCAGGCTTTGCCACGGGCCTGGGTTCTTGTGTGGGGCTGGGCTTCGCTTTGGCGGTGGGCTCTACGATTTGCTTCGCCAAGGGCTTCGCGCAATTTTGCATCAGCTGGTCAAGCCTTTTCACGGCATTGATAATTGAATTATTGCGTCTGGAGAGACATTGGTGGGGGTGCCAGTGCTGATGGCCTGGTGCTCCCACCTCGCTCTCGCAGGTTAACGAGAAGTTCGCATGACGGCCTTTCAGGGCTCTGGAAGAACAGCTGGAATTTCCTGTTCATTAACAGTGGATTTGTTGTGTTTTGCCCTGGGCTGCACATGCCGGTTACATCAGGGTTAGCGGATCAGGGTACCAAAGCAGCAGAGGCCCAGTAGAGGAGCGAGAGGACCAAGACTCTAGAAAACGAGAGGACCATACAAGTGTGACCCAACAGATCAAAAGACCTATAAAAGTCCTTATTGAAGTTGAATACTCCCCCACCTCGCAGGACATGCGCGTGCCGCTCAACCATGTCGTTCTTGCAGCCCTCCGCAAGGCGGTCGAATTGGCTGGTGAAGGAATCATGGCTGACCTTGAGGACACAGTGGTACTCCGCCAAGGGCGAATGCTTTTCGTGCATCTTCAAAGCTTTGTAGTTGTTGTAGACCGTGTTATGCTCAAAGAGGTCCTCGTGGTGGGTAAGCCCAACCCAAAGCTCGCAGCGCTGTTCTTTTTCGGGGCCGAGCTCGTAGCCCTTGCATTCCGACCACTCGGCACAGCGTTCCTCACACTTTTCAGGGCTCACTCCATCCTCGGTGGCTGAGTATCTTTATATAAAACTCAAAAGGTTAAAGGTAACCTACTCAGCTACCAAGCATCCTTCTTCGGGTTCGTGTTAGACAGCACCATTCCCTCTTTGCCCGTGGGCCCCAGGTGGGCATCGACCTGGGGGTTTCCGAACATAGGGGTAACCCTACTATAGTACCCTAAATAGTAGGGTCCTTATTCTAAGGACCCCCCGAAATCAGGTACCCCCCCCAATTTTCGGAAACTCCCCACCTTGTCCCCTCGGCACACCGATCCCGGGCCCAGGTTCAAGAACTCGTCCTCGGCGCGAATGCTCTCGAAGTTGATGAAGTCGGGGCCATGGAGGGTGTGGGGAGGATCGAAATGGGAGGCTCGCCCCCCCATCCACAAACCCATGCAGCAAGCAATCATGAGTAGGAGAACTCCACCCGCTGCCCACTTGCAACTTGGCCGATGCTCTGCAGCTGTTTCCGGTGTCTGCTCATCGCCATTCTCAATGTCTTCGCTGACAAAGGGCTCAAGAGCATGCGACATGGGCAAATCGATCCGAGAGGGGATCTTCTTGGACCTATGGCTGACGCCTTGGCAGATTGAGCCGCGAGGTCTGTGGTCAGGTGGGCTTGGATATGTGGATCTCCCTCCCTCGACCGTTCTGCATCCAACCTGCATGGAGCCAGAACGGTCGAGGAGGAACACGAACTCCTGAACGGGATTCGGAAGTCTGAGGTAACCTCGGAACGAAACGACTCAACCTGACCCCACAAACCACAAAATCTCAAGACGCCTTGAGTCCTCAACCTTAAACGATTGCGAATCCGCAGGCACCCCTGCATAGCTCCCAAACAAAAGCCCTCACCGCCCCATAGCCTCAACCTCAACCCTATAATCCCTAAACCCGAACCCTAAACCTCAAACCCTGAACCCTAAATCCCTCAAGGTCTCAGGGGAAGGGGATCAGGCCTCGAGAGGGCTCAGGAGCCTCCGAGTCAACGATCACCCTCCTTGAGCAGCCCGAAACTCCCAAGTGGGCTTCTTCCCAAAGGGTCCAAGTATCATTATGGTATATACTTATAGGGTATTTTGGGGGTCTAAGTATGTACCATAACAATACTTGGACCCTTTGGGCTTGCGCTTCTTTTCGAAAGTGTGTGTCTGTGTGACGCTTATGGCTGAGGGCTGTTTGAAGAAAAGGCTTGTGGCCGACAGCCACCTCAATTTGGTATCCCTATCAGCGTGAGCTCAGCAAGAGGCTGAAGTTGGTGGGGTGTCTTCCAAGCCTGTCCAGGTCCCAACTCTATCAGTCATGATGCGACAGAGGCTGAGGAAGCCATGAAATCTTGCACTCCAGCATTGCTTGCGACTACCTAGAGGTCCCATAGTAGTTCCTTTTAAGGGTTCAAACGTAGAATCCTATGAGGCAATCCCAAAACGGAACTACTGTGGAGCCGATGGGTACAGGCCTGAAGTCTAAAGCCTTGGCCTTCCCTTTCAACACGAGGCGACCCATCTCACCCAAGCGGGCAACTCCAAACCTAGCTGCCGTCCAACAAACCGAGGATAGACACGGCCACAAACCTCCGTTCAAAGAGCCCTGAGTCTTAGCTGAAGGCCGGTTCGAGGCTTAGGGTTCAGACTCTGACCAGCCCCCCTTGCACACCGAAGCTCCCTCAACTTCCACTGCTTAGTCACAGTCCTGCGCCCACCCATCTCGCAAAACTGGACGTCGAGAGCTTCAAGTAGATTATATGTGCTTCCCCGAAAAGCGAAAGCCGCCTCCATCGGATATGGAAAGAGCGCTGAAGCCATCGTAGGCAGATTCGCAGCACCGTCCACATGAGTGAACAAGCCAACCTTCCCACAACAGGAAAATCAACGGTCAAATATGTTTAGCAATAAATATCAGATTTCAGGTCCCTAAACACTACATATATAATCCCTTCACATCTTCGGCCTCAGAGTCCCCTTGCACAGAAGGGTGTTGAGCTGCGCCGCGCACTTGTGGAGGGCTTGGGTAGGGCGTGGCTCTCTCTGCAATCTGGAGCCGCAGTTTATCTCTGGAATAGCCGCCCCGTGCCACCTGCTTTGCACCCGTGGTGTTCTATGACGCGAGCTCAGAACACGTGAGAAGTCCGGACATGTAGCCATGAAGCTGCACCAGGCATAATGCTTCCATTCCTCTAGGCTTCATCTTGGGAGCCCATAAGGTCCTGTTGCGTGCTGGTGGCCAGCACCCCATGGTGGACGCAGGCGCCGCCCACGCGCTCGGGGGCGAGGAAGGCCGCGATGGGCTGGATGAGGCTCCCGGGGTGCAGGGGCGCGAGCATCCTCATCTCGAGGATGGTGTCGATGTTCACGGAGAACTGCCTTTGCTGTCAGGTCACTTAGGTTGAGGCCTGCGTGGGTGTTTTGGGTTGAGCTTCGGGGTCCTGGTCTATCCGATAAAGACACTCTGACTACTGTCAGTGTCGTTTTGAGCAGTGGGGATTCCGCTCTTGGCTCGTTGACTTTTCCCTTTTGGGCTTTAGGCTTAGAGCTTCGGGTTTTGGGGCCTAGCAGCTTACAAGAAACCGCTGAGCCTGCGTAGAGGACAAGCTCCCCGGTAGCAGTAGCAGGTTCATCGTTCCACTTCGGGTTTCGGCGCTCACACTACAGATCTAAACTTTCGGGCCTCGTCGGGGTGCCGGGAGTCGTCAGTTGAGGTAGCTCCGATGCGCTCAGTCAGCCTGACCGACTCTCTCCCTGAATAACACAACGCACAAAGCCCACCCTTTATGTCCAGAAAGAAATATACATATATCCATATATATATATATACACATGTATTTACACATGCCATCACATGCCCAACGTAGACCAAGGTGCTCCATTGGAAGAACTGAGGCGTTCACCTCCGCAGGCACCCAAAGAAGGGGCCAAAGCATCTTGAAGCGACTCGTCCGTAGCCTGGAAAGGCTTGAGACTTAAGAGTGCGTTGGGTTGAGTGTCAGGGTTGGATGTTGACGCCATTTTTCCTCTCTCGTGGCTAGGTATCTTTATGGCACTGGGTCGGGGGTGGTTTTGCCAAACTCGAAATCGAAAGGCCTTGAACCCATCCAAATTCAGACATTGGGTCCTTAGACGCTAGAGCTTTTGGAGATGTATTGTTGTACCATGTTGTACCAATACGTAATGCCGTAAGTATTCTGATCTGCATATTTCTCGCAAAGGCCAAGGTTCCGTGCTGACGAAAATTAGACGGACCCTATACACGAGTCCTGTAGGAGGATCCGCTTACAAGCATAGACTCGACACCAATATGCCCTGAGAGAACATGGGGCATGGCAGGTTACAGTTAACATCGTGCACAAGTCATTCGGGCCGCCGCACGAACGATGCACAAGAACTGAGTATACGTCGACCGCGTGAATGCGCGACAACTGTGTCACATCAAACGCGACCAAGTACAGGATTTCAAAGCGCCCTTCACTGTCAGCGTGGTTCCTATCCTAACCCCCCCTGAAATCCTAAAACTCCTTACCTGGACCCCAAAAGTATGTAGAATAAAGGCCTTTTATAGGTTTTGGGCAATTATTTTACCTACTTTTGAAGGTCTAAGTACTTGCTACTTGCCCGAACCCCAAAAACCTAACCTGGAGGCCCCCCCCGCTGCCAACTTCGGAGCCCCGAATCCATCAAAGAAGATCATCGTTTACTAGGTTCCCCACTCGCCACTTGACCATGAGGGTATAGGGCTTAGGGCTTAGGGGTTTAGGGTTTGGGCCGTTTGCCTAATATTCGGTTTTGAGGATTTCAAAACACAAAGAGCAAACGTGTACAACTGGGGAACCTGAGGTACAACAATATCATAAGACGATTTACTCTAGATACCTGGCATCTAGAATATCTTTGACAAAAGTCTGTTGGGGTAGATTTTGGGTATGTCGAAGTAAAGGGACTATACAAGACTAGCGGCGATATTCATCTGATTATTCATACCAGTCTTTATTCTGAACCTCCAGTCGTCCAACCCACAGCACTACCACTCACCAAAGTCGACTAAACAGAACAACCTGAGGCGCACAGAGCTGCTAAGAGCCCACAGAACTACCCTGGCCTACATGAGATGTCAACCTTTTACAGCTAGGCGGCAGCAGTGACCGCAGCATGGCCAAAGGTCCTGCGATCGCCAGGGGCTGCGGGACAAGCAACTGCCCGCAAATCAGATGCGAGGCGCTTCCGAGAAACATAAGAAGCTTGCTACTCTAGGGGCCTGAATAATTCGCCTCGGCCCCGGCCGAAGCGGTCAGAGGCTCCTCGGATTCCCTCTATTCCCCACCTCTTCATCGCCCGAAAAGAGGTCACCTGAACCCCCCCCATCCTCCGTGTGAACCTGTGAATGAGCCAAGGTCCCACGGTGAAGTTTCGCTTCTTCCAATGGATTTGGGGTCCCTGTAGGGCAGTTTCACTTATGCATCCGAAACAATGCACCACAGCCGGGCCGAGGCGGACGACGCGAAGGGTTTAAAATATTGGAATAGGGTTTTGGTGTATATTATGCTGTAAATATTTAAAAATCAGGAGCCTCCAAACTCAAACTCGAAACCGGATCTAAACCTTCAACCCCTCCACTCTACCCTAACTACCCACTACTGAGGACCAGGAGCTGGCCAAGCACCCGAAAATCCGAAAATCCTCCCTCGCCGTCCTCGCGTCTGATACCTCTGCATCCTCAGGTAGATCGGCCCTCGCGTGCTGCGCGGGCGGTGCCGGGGATCCCGCGGGTTCCGGGGCCCGAGCCCGACATGGCAGGTGACCTCGGCTTTCTCAATTCAAAGACACTGTTGCAATATAGGGGGCCTTAATAGTTATAATGGGTTTTACGAAGGACCCCAAAATAGTAAAGCTAATTAATGAAAACCACCAAGAAGAACTTCTTGGACCCCAAAAGTATGTAGAAGCACAGGCTTTTGTAGGTTTTGGGCCATTATCTTACCTACTTTGGGGGGTCTAGGTTGTTGTGCTCTGAACTCGCTCTTTGGGCTTTCCCTTCAGAGTTCGGAGGGCTTGAAGTGTCTTCGGGAGTTTCTTACGCGCGTTCAGACACACGATGATATCCATTATTATATGGAGAAGTGGTGACCTTACTTAACCTTAAACAACGGGAAGGGTGTGACCCTGTAGGGAGTGTTCGAACGGGTTCAGGGCCTTCGACAAGCTCACTCGCACAGGTAGGATTCCAGGTTTCGGAGGGGCGGGTTGCAGCCGCTTTTTCGGCAATCTGAGGGAGTGTATAGAGCAATTGAAGGAGCTCAAGGACTTTAGGGTCGAGAGTGCCGTTTCTTTTCATCAGCCACGGGAAACTGGACATCGGCGAAACTTTCAAGCCTTTACCGTCGGATTACCTGACCTGGGTTTAGGGTTGAGTCAGCAGAGCTAAAACCACAAAGCTCAAGGTACGTCTGGGGTTAAAGTCTGAGAGTTCATGATACAGGGCTTGAGCCTTGAAACCTATGGTACTATAGGCCCCTGTACTCGAGATGGCCCATGCTGCGCAAACCCGAACTAGGGAGAAGCCCCACAGCCCGAAACTTAAAACCTTGAGCGAAGTTAAACCAACCAACCCAATAGCCCTGTCCTTATAGGCTGTAGACTCTAGACCCCAAATAGATCCCACATCCGCTCAACCCCAAACCCTGAAGGGTCTACAGCCAAATGGTCCACTCAAGCTGGACTGGAGACGTTGGCGCCGCCAGCTGACTCATGTCCCAGATGCTTGGCCGAGAGGTGGATGCACCTGATTACGCATTGAGGGTGTTAGGGTCTCGCACTTTCGGGGTTCAGTGCTCGGGGGTTGTAGGGATTTGTAGTTTTACGGGTTTGGGGCTTGCAGGGTTCAGGGCTTTTCATTTATCTTTAGGCTTCGGGTGAGGGCTGGTTAGGGTGTTAGGGCTTATAGCCCTGAAGCCTGACAGCACCACTACAGTAGCGGGTCCTTGATAGGGAACGTGGATCAAGATGCTTTTCCTATAATCTTGAGGGTCGAGGGTTGAAGTCGTGATCAGGCGACCCAGAAGGATTTTCTCGTACATACGCCTCGTTTGAAACCTGAAGCTCCGTCTGCGGTATCTTCGCCTTGCGCTTGACGGTTTAGTTTAAGGCTTAGGTCCTACTGAGATATGGAATACTTACTACATACTCGCACTTATGAAGATGACCGGAATCACAGGAATCAACAAAGTTAATTACTTGAAAAGATCGCAGAATTTCCTTCACCAACTGAGGCATTCAAAGAGCAGCCTTGCCTTTGTCGACTGAGGCACTCAGGTTTCTAGAACAAACGGGCTAGCAACAGAAGTGCGACCGCTCACTCAGGAAGTAAGCTTCCGCTTCCTGGACATGGACCCCTTTATCAAGGCGCGAAGCCCCTGAACCCTAAACCCGAAGCCAGGCTTCGACTAGGTACCTGATTGAAGGGATCCCTACTTGAGGGAATCTGCCTACTGCAAAGCTTCAAAACTGACTGAGAAAATGCCGCATTCAAGCCCACCATCGTTGCATGCTGTGGGCCGAACTTAGCTTCGAGAAATGGTTAGGGTTCTGGGGTTTGGGGTTCAGGGCTGTAGGCACAAGATCCTATATAGCTGACCCTGCACAATCATGCGTGGTGGATTTGGAGCTGGGGCGCGAGATCGCACTGCTGAACTTGAAAACTCCACTATGCTTCGGCCATGCTATATGGAACCCTCAAAGGAACCCATACGATTACAGTAAATCCTAAAGGGCGACCCCAAGCCGGGGCCTTCCGACAGTCTCCTTGTCCTTCGGTTCATGAAACTCAAAGCCGGTACAGCGCATCCAGGCGTGCCGACACGTCTCCTCTTGGGGGCACTTAGGGCGGCACTGAGGGTACTTAGGGTAGTTCAGGGTACTTCAAGCACTTAGGGTAGTTAGGGAACCTGGGGACTTATAGCACTTTCGGCTTTACTGTTTCCAGCGTTTGGGGGTTTAGGCTAGGCTTGAAAGGGTCCTGCATAGGGTATTGGAGGATGGGGATTGAAGGCTCTGTCTAGGCGGTCCGGGTGTCGGGTCATCGTGTTGCTGTGGGTCCTGCAGCGTTGTTTTTGGGTTGCTACCGGTGTCCAAGGTATTGCTCCTGGCTTCTCAGCTCTTGATTGGATCCTTGCTTCTATGCGGAAAAGTTGCTGGCGTGGCGGACGCAAGCTTGATCGAATGGAGATAAGGAAACCGGCCTATCGTAGCACAGTTAAATGCAGGAACCCTCTAAGAAGTACTAAGTCAAACCCCAAACCTCCCAAACACAGAGACCAGAGAAGAAACAACCCAGATCTTAACGTTTGGGCGTTCATAAGTAGTTAGAAGTGTTTTGGGGTTACGTTATGGGACAAGTAATCAAAGGAAAACGACTAAGGTCTCTATACTGTACTTATAGGCCCCTGAACACCCCAGGGCTCCTCGCAAGAAGCCCGGTCCAACTCTCCCTGGTGAAGGTGCTCCTGGGAAGCCAGAGGTTCATATCGACTTATACCCATGTTTAAATCTATATCTGTAGCTGGTTGCAAATCTCGATGGGTTTTGGTGGTTCAGGGCACAGGGTCTGTGTATCCATCCATCTATGCATGCTGTCTAATTAAGTATCTGCCATTGCCATTGCTCCAGCCCTGAAGAAAAGTGTAAACCCTCAAACCCCGAATCCCTCAACCCTACAGCCGTTACAAACCCTTACAGACCCGTAACATAAAACAACCTGAAACTCTCAGAAGCCGCTGTACAGCCCCCGACAACCCCCATGAGACCAATGAAAGCCCGTAACAAGTATAGAGCCCCCGCATCGAGCCCGAGAAACGGCCCCTACAATCCCGAAACCCTGCTTAGCAAGCCCCAAACCACAACCTAAAGAACCCAAGGACAAAACATCCAAAGCGCTTCTTCTTTCGCCCGATGCTCCAGCTTCCCACGGCCGCCAGCGTCCCCGCATCGGCCCCGCAAGGTGGCGAACTCCTGTCGGCGAGCCTTACGGTCAGCGCAAAGGGCTTTTGTTGAAGGGTTTTAAGGTTCAGGGGACAGGGTATGTAGGATGTATGTTGCGGGATTCTTGGGATTTTCGCGTGGGCCTAGGAAACTCACAGAAGAGACGACTACTTCTTCAGAATGGATAGACGGCTCACGGTCTAGATATCAGAATACCAACCTAAGTTCAGGAATCGAAACTGAATGGGAATAAGGATCCCTCCTGGTTCAACATGAGCTTATTGATTACGGGGGTATTGGCCTGTGTGGGCTCATTGTGTATCGAGACTCTTTGAAAAGGTGTTCGGCAGGCCGTGATATTCCTGTTCATATCGTGTTAGGTGTATGTAAGCCGCTTGAAGGTTGAGGTCGAGGAGCCTTCTTTTTGGCATTGGCGCTTTGCGTTCTGCTTGGGTTTTGTATGGATGGAAGGGTCTATAGAACTCCTCGAAAAGCTATACAGCCCTTCTGGACACCGTGCGAGGAGAAGCCCAGAAGCTAAGCCGAAAACTTCCAGCCCCAAGCCCAAACCTCAAACTTCAAGCCCTAAACCTTAAGCCCCAAAACACCTTAGACTCCAAGCCCTAAGCCCAACGCATTGAAGTTTGCGCACAAGGCACCCTCCCCCGGCTTTCGGGCAGCAGCGGTAGGACCAGGTCCACCGTCCCCTTGGGGTAGGGGCTGCAGTCCTGGTTTTATGGCTGAGGGCTTAGGCCAAAAGGGGCCTGCATTAGGGCTTAGATTCAGAACGGGGTTCTCAAAACTCAAGTAGTGGAGAATTCTCAAGCTCATTTTGGGTTCTCGCACACGAAATCGCCAGCAGACCTTTTACCCCGAGATCCCTACAAACCCACAGGCCCCTCATGAGCCCTCACCTCCCCATAAGCTCCAAAGGCACAACAAGCCATAAACCTGGAGCCGAACTCAACGAACTCCTGTAGAAAAGGGGCCTGAATAATAATTGCCAATGCTATTTTGCTGGATATTCCTATTATCATCATAGTATAGTCCTATATAATGGTTACCTGTACTATTTTGCTGGGTTCCTTGTTATAACTATAGCAGAACATACATCCCAAAACCCTGTTCTAATCATTAAGGCCTTTTCAGGCAAGTATCATTAAGGCCTGAATCCTGCAGAAACATTTGCAGGCAAAACGCGTCGAAGCCCATGGACCAAAGGCCCTGTAGCGCCGTGCTGTTCCTTGGGGCAGCCCGACCCCCGTTGTTGTCCCTGCAAGCCTCTGTAGGGTCCCTGTGAGTGTACTTTTTTTTTTTTTTTTGGGGGGGGGGGTGTAGATTGGAGATTTGAAGTTGCGAGATCCTTCTTAGGTTACTGCAAGAACGCGGGCACTAGATCCCTTTCCGGATCTTGCAAGGTCTTGAAGGTTCAAAAGTTTGCAAGCAAGATTGGCGTCTAACTCTTCTCTGGCTTGGCTATTTGAGTTTTGAAGGTCAAAGGGGAGAGAGGGAGTAGGGTCTGGGGCTGCAGAATGTATGATTTCCCCTTAACTCAGTTAGATGATGGGCCTGCCGGCATAGCGGCGTAGTACTTTTGGAGTACAAGACTTCGTCTGCGCTCTTCTGTGGGCTTGAAGCACCAGGGTTTTCAGAACTCACGCAAGGGCAAAGGTTCAGAGCTTCGGTACTTGACATTTACTTTATCACCCGTTTCGGGGTTCAACCGCAAACAATACACTTGCTAAGTACTTGTTTAAGCACGCCACTTCGACCCTAAACCTTGGCCAAGCGGCGTGTAGTACACGCACTCGAAAGAAAGACTCTCTGAACCCTCCAAACCCCTGTCCGAAGCGAAAGAAAGGCCCGCCAGGGGGCTGTAGGTATGCGCCGGCTGCCGTGAGCCACTGGGCCGCGCTGTTGGTGCTCTTCGGGTAGATGTGATCCTGCATAACTGTTAGAACCCATAGAACGCAAAGGATGTGGCTGCAGAACGTTTCGGAATTCGTGGATTGAACCTTGGGGGTTTGGCTCCATATATATATGTATATATATATATATATATATATATATACATGTATATTTATATATATGTACATAAAGATATACAGTGCGTCGGAGGCTGTGAAGTCTGTATGGCAATCAAGTACCTTCATAACATGGGGCGCTTCACCTCTTGGTCCGCTCGAAAAACCCATCGCAAATGTCCCATACACTCCTGTTTCCCTGAGGAACCCTAGGGCTCCAGCTGCCTAAATAGTAATGGGGACCCCTACTGTATAATAGATGCTATATAATGGGTATATAATATCTGTATTAAGGGTATATACCTAGGGGTCCTTATTAAGGGTCCCTCCTTTTACCCTTGGATTAGGCTACTGGGGTATACAGTATATGGTTCGTAGCCTACTAATTAGGTGACTGGAGCCCTAGGGGAAGCCATCACCTTTAAAGCGGACTCTGTAGTTGGACATCCAAAGGCCTTTGACCGACTTGAACCTGAAGTCGTGTAACGGCCAGAACTGCCGTAAGCAAGTTCCTGAAGCAGCGAAGTCTCCTGCACCGACCCCACAGAATTGCCGCTGCAACTCGATGCAACCCATATTGCACCATGTACTGCACCCTCTAAACCGATGCAGTTTATACTCCGAAGCCCTCAACTCATACACTTTGGCACGTGGTCCAGGACCACATCCGAGTCGAAATGCAGGAGGTAGTCCGTCCTCCCCGCTCAAAGGACTTAGGGCTTGGGTGGGGAACCCAACTCCTAACCCCTAGACCGCTAAACCCCTGAACATCTAACCCCCAAACCGCTTAGGGCTTGGGGTTCAGAGCCTTTCGGGGTTTAGAGCGAGGTGAGTCTTGGTTCGGGGCTTACAGGGCTTCGGGCCCCTAAGCCCTCAAGTCCAAGACCCTTGCATTAGCCCTTATAGTTAGGTTTATATAGGGTTTTTCTCAAAAAGGACTGTTGGGGTTCCACGATCTCTCTCTCTATGAGGGGATCTCTTATTGAGGAACCCTTGGCAAATTTGGGACCTTCTCACGCGTGGTTGCTAGATTTCGGAGCTCTGCTAAGGTGCACAGCTTGGGTGCTGAGGCCTCAGGCATATACTCTGTATAGGTGCCAGGGTATAAACTTTTTACGGTTGAAACCCCGACTTCAGGAATTCAACTTTGTTGTTTTTCAGTGTTCGGAGTGCCCCTCATTTAGGTGTCCGTATTGCAAGCATCCGACATTCAGGGCAGGTGTCGCTCTGCGTCTTTGGGGCGGAGACTTCAGACCCACCCACCCCTCAGCCTGAGGGTTGCGGAAAGTTCAAGGCAAGGCAGTTGAAAGAAGGTGCTTATAAGCCCAGTTCTAAATGCCCTCTTACCGGGCATCTCTTCTTCCCGCAAATACAAATAGCCCTCCGAGGTTCCAGAGTTTCGGGCTTGGGCTTCAATTCTCAAACTCGAAACCATAGAACTCGGACCTAAGATATGGGTGGTCCTCTAAAGTCGAATCCTGTTTATCAGGGTGCTGTACTTTTTTGGGGGAGCCACTAATTTAGAGAACTACCCATCTCTACCCCAGCCCTGAGTTTCACTCTCCTAGAGTTAAGCAAGGCTCACCTGAAGAACAAGCTCTCCTAACTTTAAAGACTCTACTCTAACCATATCTACTTTTGGACCAGGATTCAGAAAAACCAAGATTCTCTAAGCCCTCAAAGTCCAAACCCAAATCACCTAATCCTAAACCCCTTCAACCCTAAACCTTTGGTCCTCGACAGCACTGCCATGTAGAGGTACCTTGGCTGACTTCTGAACCCCTGGTACAAGTCAAACTTTTGGCCTCCTTATTATATGTAGACACCCCAAAAAATTAAAGTCCTAAGAGCCAACCAGAAGAACGCCAAGGCACATCGGCCCGTTCTTCCAGAGCTGCGGCAGCACCCGCCGGGCAAAGCGTCGGGGGAGGCCGAAGCCTCTCTTTGGCTTGGGCTCTGGATGCTCTGGAAGCCGTTGAGGAATTTAGGGGCTTTAGGTTTAAAGGGTTTAGGAGCTTTAGGTTGAAAGGGTTTATGAGCAATATTGGTTTGGGGTCTGTAAGCCAGAAAGCCCCCAAAATCGAATAGCCTAGGGTGGCTGCTGGGGGTAATGTGAAGGAGAGCTGGTCACTTTCAAACTCAAAGCAAGATGGCAGAAGCCTGCATCATATTCTTTGGCTACTTCTCTACATTAGCGTCCCCTTTAATTAAGGTCCTTTTTATAATGGTGCCGTAGAGTAGATGGAACCCTAATTTAGCAAACTACCCACATATGTCCATAGTTCCGTTGGGGCGTCGTTGGCTACCACTTGTCGGATGTCAGGTGCAAGGGGCCTGAATCCGAAACCCACAAAATAATTTCGACTCATGGTTTTGTGGTTTGAGCTTCAACTCTCAGACTCTGAAGTTGCCCCAGAACTTTCTCAGCTTGTAAGGCTGTGTGCGGGAAGTCCTGGGCCAGTCATGGCCTTCTTGAAGGCCAGAGCTCTGACTGTGCTGGCCCCCTAATTGCAAACCATCTCAGCCGTCAAGCGGGCTGACGGTTTAGGGTTTTGATGAGGTTTAAGGTTCTTAGAGTTTAGGCTTAGGGTTCTTATAGGGTTTAGGATTCTTAGAGGGTTTGGGGTTCAGGGTTCTTATAGGGTTTAGGGCTTACTGTTTTTTATAGGGTTTAGGGTTAGCAATAAACACTCTCAAGGCAACGAATCCCAGTCGAGCAGCTCTGCAAGAGACTTGGGCTTGGGCCAAGGGCAAAGTAGTAGCCGGGCGCTTTGGGCCACGAGCCCTACGTTGTACTAGAAGCTACTACAGCTCCAACCCCAAACTTCCAAACCTCTCAGCCCTAAACTGCAAACCCTGCGTAAATCCCAGACCCTAAACCCTAAACCCATAATTATAGAAGCCCTTCTGAAAACCTTACACGAATATCTCAAACCTCAATACCGTGACGAAAGCAATGACCTCGGACCAGCACTTCGTCTATCACCCGGTGGTCAGAGTAGTCAATCAGCACCTGTCGTGCTAGCTCAACACGCTCTGGCTGTAATTTCGGTTATATACTGGAATCTCAGCATTTAGAATACAATTGTGGAATATATGTTCTACTATGTTTCCATGTTGACGCCAGGGAGATATCACTATATACTAATTATGCACTTTCCTTTCTGCTGCGGAAGGAGGCCGTACGCTCGGCCTTAGGGCAGCCACCTTGAAGCTACGTCTTCGGGGGGCCTTAAGAACTCGAGCAGGACCTGGGGCCTGTACTCGGAGGTTCACGCGTAGTTTTGGGTGGGTTTAAGTCTCCTAGTAGGAGTCATAAGCATGGCTACCCGGCTTATAACTCCACTTATAACTACCCATGAACTTCCAAGTATATCTCACTATATGGGGATTTGCAAGGAGCAAACTTACCAATTGCGAAGAGTCCAATTTATGTCACATAACATATCACCGACGGCCTCGATTGAAAGCCCACTGCTGCTTTTGAACCACGTTAATCACGAAAATCCAAAAGCCCCAAGCCCTTTAACTCACCCCAACCTTCTAAGCCCCAAACAGTTCAGGAACCGGGAGAGTGCCCGAAGCACCAAACCCTAAACCCTACACCCCTAGACCCCTTAAAACCCTCAACCCTAAACCCTAAGTGCGCCCGACGCCTCTCGGGACGTGGTTCCCAGCAGCCCAGCGGCAACTTCGGCCGCGCGCCGAAGTGAGGAAAGCAGCTCACGGCCCAGGTCGCTGGCAACCTCCTCTAGAAGAGCTCCTGGTTGCAGGGCTTTAAGGCACTCCTCTCTGAAAGCTGATTTGCAGGGTTTCTGGCTTCGGGAGGTTTGGGTTTAGGTTTCAGGGCTTGACGGGCTTTAAGGCTTCAGATCTGCTTTGGGGCTTTGGGGTTGTACGGGTTTAGGTGGGCTGGGGCCTCGTATGTCGGCGACGGTATTCGAGATGAACCTTGAACACAGCACCGCCCTCATTCCCAAACTGCATTGGGAGTCAGTGGGCAACTGTGGAGTAGGGGCGCTCCAGCGGCTCTTGGGGATAGGGGCTACGGGATTAAGGCTTCGGTGTGGGGTTTGCGGGTGTTGAGCTTCGAATGCAAGCCCGGTACATGTGAGCGCCAATCCAAATAGCCGCCCTTAGGACGAGAAGGAGATGTTCTGGCTTCGGGCTCATCTTTAACAGAAAAAACTCAGAAACAATTTTCCCGTAGCTTGTCATGACGAAGCTATGACATATCTTTGTCATGATACGCCCTGGGGAAAGCTCTAGCACGCAACATGGCTAAAGGAGCTTTAGGCTTTTGGCCAACTGCCATGTACACTTCCTCATAAATCCTCAGGAGTATACCGTCCTCGAGTTTTTTTCCGAGGGTCCACCGTCAGAAGGAGCTCCGACACGCAACCTGCCCGCCGCCAAGAGACGGTCTGGGCTGTTGATGTTTACTTCTTCCCTTTGGCCGAGTCTCCAAGGGGAAGGAAAATCAAGACCGGGGGTGAAACTCCAGACTCCTAGTAAGGCTAATGAGGGTCCTAAAGCCTAAAATCCTAAATCCTAGTCCCAAACTCCTCAACGCCTAGACCCAAAAGCAGCCAATTCTCAACTCAAGATCCCTCAGTCCTACACCAAACCGCTGCAATCTTCAACTCCAGTCTTTCATCCTGAACCCAAAAACCTTCAATCCTGAACGCAAAACCCTTTAATCCCGAACTCCTGAACCCTAAGCTTCAACCCCAAAACGCTTTTCACACAATCTCCAAGGACACGCCGCTATCCACCCCCTTGATTCCTCCTAGAAGCCCTCAAAAGAAACGCCAACTAAGACTAACAAACCCAAAACCCAAAAGGCCTTGATCCGAAACCACTGAACCTTCAAACTCCCATTGTAGAATCCTCCTTGATCCTTCAAACACGCTTGAACCCCAAACGCTAAGTCCCAATCAACCTCCTAAACCCCCCCCCAGTGCCCCTAAACAACGCCCCAAGCCCAAAATCCCAAAACCTTTTGTTGAACCCGTACTAAAACCGATGCGTGTGACGGGAGAGAACGAAATCCTAAACCCTGAACCTCAAAAACCAAACACCCCAAAATCTTGACATCCCAAACTCTCCTCACTAACACTCCCAAACCTCCAAGCGCTCCGGTGAGTCGCTGGGCCAAAGGCACCTCGGCCGAGGAAGAGCCGGAAAAGCCGGGCTGAGCAAAGGTAGGATATTCAGGATCCTATACCCTTATAGTATCCTTGTAGATCCCTTTAGGGTCCCTTAAAGGAAACCTATTCAGGATTAAGGTACTTGGAGTTTCATGGGTATTTATAAATAGGGTTGTAAGTAGGGTAACTAGAGTTGTATGCCCTATTAAGGGACTTATAACCCTACTACCCATGAACCTCCAAGTAGAATCCTAAACCCTATACCTTATAGTAGCCTTATAGATCCCTTTAGAGGGACCCTTAAAGGAACCCTTACAACTACCCATGAACCTCCAAGTAAGGTAGGGTCGGATGTGAGCGAGGAGCGAGATTGCCCACGAAGGGGAGATCCGAAGCGGTGAGGGCGAAGGACATGTGAAGTGTCCTGAGATCCCAGAGGGTGCAAAGTACTTAGTACCTACCCAGAGGCTCCATAGTAGTTCCTTTTGGGGGATTAACTTATAGGATTCTAAATATGGGCCCCCAAAGAGGAACGACTACGGGGCCTCTAGGTATATCCTAGAATGTTGGGTTTCTATTTTAGGAATCCCTAGTGTGATTTGGGAAAGTAGGAATGGTGCATCAGGCTTTGGAGTGTGACGTGAAAACAGAGGGTCGAGGTTTAGGGTTGAGGTTTCAGGGTTTAGCGGAATAGCGGCGTCACCCTGGAGAAAACCGCAGATGGGACCGTCAGCTAACTTGGTTCAGGGCTGAAGGCCTGAGCGGGAGTTAGGGCTTGGGCAGTTTGGGTACCAAAACACACCTAGGGTACCTGAATAGATGCAAAGGGCTTTGGATACTGTTGTAGTGGAAACATATTATTAAGAAGCCCCAAAGATTAGTAGCGCCAACCAATCCGACCTCTGTATGGGCTGTGGGGCCCCAACTTCACCACGCATGTGTAGCCAGAAAGGCCGAATACCTAAACAAACACCTGCTTAGTTCGAGACATGAAGGCTGAGATGTTCAGCCAATACTTGCGTTGTCTAGACCCTCAACCTTAAATAGGCATGCTTTACCTGAACATCGACTCTACCCCCCCCCCCCCCCCCCCCCCATGGCAAAAATCCCAAACCCTTGTCAAAGCACCTGCATCTGTTAGAAACCCCTATCTCAAAGCCCTAAACGAAAGCCTCTGCCAAGAGTCAGCTGTCCCAGCGTGCTGCATGACGCACCCGGCGGCGCCATTCTTTCAAACCAAGAACCCCGTGCTTCAGGATTAATATGGAAGTAGATCCAGCAAAGTAGGGTTTCGGGTGTTGCGTTTAGGGGGTTTATACGGAACTAGGTAACATAAGGGCTTTACATGACCGCGCAATTAGCACAGGGATTGGGAACGTGTAGAATCGGGTTTTGGGCTATCAACGGCTCCGGATCTAGGGAAGCCAGGGTTGAGGTTGTGGTTTGGGACCTCGGCTACACTCTTCGCATACAACTCACTTCTAGATCCAGGTACGTGACGAGACTTGGAACAGCAGAAATGTTGCATGTCATGGCAGCTTAGCTTTCAACATCGCCACTTTTGATCACACTTGAAGCCCCCGACAACGGTTAGAGCCTGCAGCCAAGCCCTAATCCATGGACCTGCTGTTTGTTTACGCAACGATTTGTGTGAAGATGCGACCTCCGGGCCGGAACTGTGCCTGCGGTCAAACGCCCTTCTACCAAACTTGCCGGACATTTCTGTTGAAAAGGAATCCCTGAAACCGAAACCCGACGTGAACACCAAGCTCTATGGTTTCGGTCCGGGTTTAGGGTCTCGGCAGGACTTAGCTAGGTTTCACGCAGTGCTAGGGGGGGTTGCACGAACCAATGACTATACTACAAAAACCTGTACTGTCCACGCAGCAGTGAGTGCTCCGATCTTCACAAGGAACCCCCAAACCACCACTGAGGGACCATGTACATAACCCCACATATACCCGAAACCTAGATGACTCCCTAAAAGGCACTCGTTTTAAGGGTTCCGTTTAGTGGTTCCTTTTGCCGAAAGAATCTCCTGCAAGGGCCCCTTCATGGTTTATCGGGACCGGGGAGAATAATAGAAGGGCCTTAATGCCTAGAATAGTGTAATTATTGGGGTATACTATACTAGAGTTATACTATGCGAAGGTGCCCGGCCCTAACAGGTTTTTCTAGGAAAACCTAGGAAAAAAACAAATGGCTTTTTCTAGAAAATCCTGGTAGAAGCAGCAACATGTACGGGGTTTACGCTATCACAACTCGGACTGACCAGGCGAGGCTTTGTGGTGACCGGGTCGACCCTTGATCAGGTTCTTCCTCGTTCAGCTTACCCCTTTTCGGGGTTTATATTTAGAACCCTAGAAGGCAATCCCCAAAAGGAACTACTATGGAGCCTCTGGGTACTGGGGCAGCTAACACAATAAATCTGCGAACGCACATGGCGTGAAATTGCACCAACATGGTAACAAGTTGCAGACTTGACTAGCCCCTAAACCCAGCACCTTTTGGGCGGGAGAAGCTGTACAACTCCGTCGCAAAGATGGAATCTTTGAAACGCGTGGGCGGCGACCTTTCCAATCCAAAGCCTTTGAGCTTTCATTGGTTAGGGTTTAGAGTCTGCCTTGAGCTACCAAAGAATGCAGGGTCCCTACAATTTCTATGTTGGGGTGTATATAAGAACCAGCAACAACGTAGGTTATGGCAGCTTCAGTACGCCCATAAAAGACAAGTCGTCCATGTGTTAGAAGGGTGGGGGCCTGATGTGAAGCAGTCCAGTATTCGGGATGCAAATGAAGGTCCCCTTCCTGTACTCGGGTTGTTCTCTACTCTAAATTAAGGTCACCTTTTAATTTAGGTCCCCCAAACAGTACCGCACCCCTATAAAAGGAACCTGAAGGGACCCTCATTTTGAGAACTACGCATCTAAGAAGGGAGTTGAGAAAGCAGGGAACTATGAGGCCTTGCTAGGCCTCGAACCACCTTGGTCGTACTGGGCGTGTTTCAAAACTGTGGGGTTTGGGGGGTTTCAACTTCTGGGCTCTCGGAAGGGGTGTTTTTGGGCTTCAGGATCGAGTTTCGCATTTTGAAGACTTTTCTCTGGCAGCTTCGGGGAGGGTTTAAGGGTGCTTTGGGAGGTAGGCCGCGGCTCACGAATCTTTACCAGAGCAGGTGTCTGAAGTGGAAACCAACACTCTCGGGAATAAGTGAAATTCCGAAGGAGCCGTGATCTTTACCACGTCCTCTGTGAACAAAACCCTAGAAGTACAGGCAAAGCCTTTTCTGGAAGCCTTGTTGAGGCAACAGAGGGAGCTCGTACCCGCCGAGCAAGACACAGTCATGCTCGGAAGCTCGAAATCTTGAAATCTCCAGCTGGAAGCTCGAGGACTTTGAGCCATGATTGAAAAAATGCGCGGCTTAAAGTTCAGGCTTCGAGAAGCCTGGAGCTATGGCATGTCGTTGTAGACCCTATCTACACCCTAAGATGAATGAAGTGTGCTGACAATGACCTCCTTGTGAGCCCTCCCTGCCGGATGACGCTCTTGGCCAAAGGCACCGCGGGGGCTCACGATCGAGGAGGAATCGATTTTGAGAATTTTCGTCGTAGTGTTGAGGGTTTGGGCTTTACGGTCATAGGCTTCGTCGTTTTCGGATTTAAGTCAATAAATGGATGGGTCGTTTTTTTGGGGGGAATTCTGGTACAAGAAACGCGCCTAAGATTGTTTGGAACCTTGACCCGTCTGATTGAGGGTCTGGAATGGCCACGGAAACGTCCCAGGGACTGCAGGAGCCCTTGACTAAGGCAAGCTCCGAAATTTCTAAAAAAGGGCTCCTCAAGATTGAAAGATATGCCTTAAGCCTGAACTGCTGACGACCCTGCGCCCCCAAAACCTTTCGCTTAGCCAAGGGATCTTGCAGTTTCTGGGATCAGATCTCAATGGACCTGACTTTGCAAAGCCGGCGTGTGAAACGTGCCGCGGGCTCCAACAAGTCGAAGCCCGTGAGCTTCTTCGTCAGCAGGCCTTTGAAGGGCTTTAGGGTTTTCGTCTCTCACTAGGGTTTGGGGGTTTAACGCTCTTTGCTTTTCGGGTTTGGGGTTCAGAGCTCTTTAGATGAGTGTGGTCGGGTTTGGGGTTTCGGGTTTAAGGCTCTTTGGGTTTCGAGTGTTGGGGTTTAGGGCGCAGGGTTTGGGAAATTAAGAGACCTGGTGGAGCCCAGGTGTAAAGGTTCTGAGGCGTGTATCAAGATTTTGTTGACTTCAGTTTTGGGCTTTGGGACTCATGAGCTTTACCTATAGTCTCCATTGTAGTTCCATGTTTGGTTCAATCAGCTTTATAAGTAAGATCCTAAAATATATAACCCTTGAAAAGGAACTACAACGGAGACCATAGGGAAGGCTTTAGAGCTGAAGCTTTGGGACTCCCCATATTAGATCTCCCTCTGTCTTCTTCCAGCCCTTCCTAGCGCCCTCAACCGCGGAAATCCTAAACCCTAAAGTCTAGAGCCGCTAAACCTTACACCGACACCCTTGCAAAGCCTGCAACGCCTAGACTAAGGGAACTCCTGCACCCTCTCTCTTAATCCTTCAGAGCCTAAACTCAAGGAAGAAGAAAAGTCCTTCCGCGGCCTCGATTCCCAAAGATCAGCATCTGGAGAGCTGCATCGAACTCCCGCACAGAGGACACTTTCTGCAAGATCATCTCTTTGTCCTCCGACGCTTTCGTAGCTACGTGTCTGACTCAGGTCAAGGTTATGATATAACCGTTATATAAGCCGCAAACGGCTACTGCTAAGGTTACTTGCTCCGCTGTTGGTTTTGTTGGCCAGCGACAGCCGAGTGCCCTGCAGTGCTTCCAACGATCCAGGAGCTGGCACATGTAGTGAAGACCTGTGGTAGTAAGTACTGTGCCGCAAAGAGCTATAGCCAAAGCCCTCCCGCCGTGTATCCTGAACCCGAAAACCCATGAAACTCGGCAGGAATTTCGGGAAGCCATCCTCCGAGAGCCCAGTACCACTGCATGAAGAAACACGCGTCAAAGATCCATAACTCACAATACTGTGAAGCTTATTCAGCCATTTTCACTTCAGGTCTACATATGGGAGTTTCCGAAAACAGGGGACCCGAATATAGTACCCTAAATAGTGGGATCCTTAGTATAAGGACCCCAAAATAAGGTACCCCTCTTTTCGGAAACTCCCATAGTTCTTGGAGAAGTATTGGGATCGCAGGCTCGGTGCCAAGCAAGGACCTCCACTCTGAACCCCAAATCCCGTCTCCCCGCGTCCTCGGGCCGCGACGCGAGGCTATTGGCGACGCTGAGGTTAACCTGATGATGGGCTCAGGACTTAAGAATTTTGGTTTAGAGTTTAGGGTGGCGTTTGCAGGAGCTTCCGGCTGAGTTCAGGTGCTTTTCTGCACGAGAAACCTACCTAGAGACTGCCGAAAAGTAGTGCGAGAGGGTCGCATGGGAGCATCAGTCTAAGAATAAGAACCAGTCTCCGAAACCCTAGGCATGAAATGGGGTCCCTTGGTCCGATCAAGTCTCATAACCTCGAACTCGAAGCCCCTGGGCAAAGGAGAACCTCTTCAGGACTAGGCAGGCAGGAACCTTACTTTCGGGGAACTAAAGGTTAACATTTTTGGGTGTTTCTAGGGATTATATAGGGACTATACTGTCAACAGAGGTTAAAAGGTTAACCTTTTTGGGTATATAGGGAGTATAATACCCAAAAAAGGGTTCAAGGTTACCTCTCTACTACTAGGTTGTTCGAAACTTGTGTAGTGCTCAGGGCGGGCTCACGCTGTTGCTTGTTAACTTGGGGCTGATCCCGCCTGTCTTGTAGTGTAGGGGCCTCAATAATTAGAACAGGGTTTTGGGGGGCCCATTATACTAGAACTCTAATCAGGAACCCTGAAAAATAGTATATTGGTAACGATTTAGATTGGGGCCCTATATTACGCAAAGCCTGCACCTTCTAGGGCTTCGGGTGTGATCTCGAGGATCCTTACCTTGGCGGATTGCGACATGCCCTTCTCAGGGCCTCAAGCTCACTGGATCGAGTCTACACCGTCCCACGCTACATCCTAGTGCTCGGAAGCCTCCAGACCCCACCAAAGAAGCAAGCCCTTATGTGAACCGACATAGAGAAACGGAAACACTCATAATAGAAGCCCTCATGAAAATGCCCCAGTAAGTTCGCCCGCCCCCCCAACCTACTCAGCGAAATCAAGCCTCTTAAGCCAGTGTAAAACCCTGAAGCTGTTATGCAAGCAAGCCTTGATGAATACCGATACGGGTCCTGCAGAATGGAAGATAAAGGCCTGAATGATTGAAGTACGCCTCCTTGGGCTATACTCCAGCAAAAATATGCAAAACTAAGGAACCCTGCAAGGGAACAGAAATAGGCAACTATTCAGACTCTCCCCAAAGCTACTCAGGGAAGTGACTAGAGTTTTACAACGAAGCTTAACGAACTAGCCTAAACAGAGGAGGGCGTCTCTGTAATTCAAAGTCAACAGGTACTCATAGTGCCCTATAGCACACTACAACCTCTGCTTTATAAAACGCTACAGGCGACTTCACCAGGTTTTGCTACCCTAAAGCCTAAAGTGACTTCAAAGTCACCAGGTACTCATAGATCGCCAGGTCTTCCGCTGTGGGATCGAAAGGCTTGCTGGTCTCTAAGCAGACCTGGGGAAGAGGCGTAGGCGTCGCGCTTGCCGGGTGTGTAGTTTTGGTTATTAGACGGTTTTTGTGGGATTCTGCAGGGAGCTATTGTTGGATTTTACTGTAGGTTGTAAGGGAGGGCTTTGGGGTGAGACAAACCATGTTTATTTTGGAGGGGGTGGGGGTGTGTACCGGAGTTCTCGCGGACTTCAGAGGGGCTTAAACAGGCTTTTGGGAATGCCTGGCCCGAGATTCAGGGTTTATCGTTTGGGCTACGCTTCCCTTAGGGTTTTGGGTTTAGGGTTCCCTTTTGACACTGGGCTTGCTGGCTTTAGGGTTCCCTAAACCCTAAACCCTAACACATTGCATTGGGCTATTTGCCTCTTGCACAGCCCTGTCTCGCCCGAGAGCTTTTCCAACTTCGAGTTCGGGGTTGGAACCTTTCAGATTTCGGTTTAAAGGCTCAGCTCTTAAGGTTTAAAGCTAAAGGTATAGAAGCTCATGAAAGTGTTTACGGTTTGGAGCTTAGAGCTCAGAGTCAGGGCTTATTAAAGGCTTGAATCTTGGGTCTAGGGATCAGAAGCTGAGGCTTCAAGCTTTGAGGTTTAGGGCTTGAAGCTGTCGGGTTCAGGTTTTCAGAGTTTAAGGCTTGGGGTCATCAAAGGCTCAGGGCTTATGGCTTGGAGTGGCTGAATTTTGGAACTTCATTTTCAAGGCGAATTTAGGAGCTGAAAGTATGACTGCAAGCCGGGTTCTTGCGCCCAGAGCTGGCCGTGAGCGTCCCACCACGCAGCCCCCGGGCCTGAAGCCCGAATCCCCCGGAGCCCTGAAGGCCTGTGAGACCCCAAAAAAGCCCCAAAGTCTGATCCCCGAAGCCCAAGATCTGGAGGCCTCAAACGGTCTCAAAAGGTGGAATGAAGGTAGGTAGGACTAATAAAATAGGATTCCTCATATAAGGGCTCTTATTTTGGGAATACCCTACCTACCTCTTTTCAGGCCCCTGAAAGATTGAGACCAAGCACACTTTGCGGGATGTCCGCGCCATGAGCAGCCACAAGTTCCGCGATACACCAGCTACGGGAGAAAACGTCAAACTTGCGATCCACTGCGACGAGCTGCCTGAGAGAGTAGAAAATTAAGTAGGTTATGTCCTTTATACTCTATTCTTTTGGACTACAGTATGGTATACTTTAGCTTCACATACCATATTGAAGCTTATATGGGGTTTCAATTCCGCCGGCTCATGATTCGAAGGGTCTGAGGCTTGGGGGACTGGGCTTCACAGAGAGTTACAAGGGCAGGGGACTTTACAATTTTGAAAGTAGGCTGGTCTTCGTTGGGAGCCGCTGACTGACTAGCACAAGGACCGCATGCAAGACGTCCGGGGCAGTATAGTTATGACCAGCACCCAAGCACATTGCTGGATCCCCAATGCCATATTGCACTCGCTGCCTCAAGCGAGGGTTCTTGTACTGAAGCCACAGCATCATAGCATCGAACTTGTTCACCTCGCCACGTTTCAGGTGAGCGTGGGATGGAATGTAAGGTCATGTCACGGTTCTTTCGGCACAAAGCTCTCTTAGCCCGCCGCCGGCTCTACTGCAACCACCACCATCACGTCACTTGTGCACTACCGCGTCCGCGACAGCTACCACCCCCAGCACTCAACTCTACCGGGGTATGGAAAAGTCCCCAATTAAGGAGTTATAAGTTGTAAGTATAGTTACCCTCCTAATGAGCCCACTTATAACAAACCCCCCAAGCCCTGAACTCGACTCCGGGCACCTCGCAGTCCGCGTCGTCATTTGCAAGCTTCGGCTCCAGGCAGTCACAGAATGTGAGGGGCTCGCCTGGGGACGATTATGATGATGATGATGATGATGATGATGATGATAAGGATTATTCTTGTCATTTTTAGTACTCTTACTATTACTACAAGTATTATTATAGAAGGGGCTCGCCTGGGGACGGGAGACTGAAACCTCTCGGGTTGTTGATTGTTTTTGCGTAGAGAACGTGGCGGAGTGTGTGTGGGGGTCACGGTGCAGTGTACACTCAGCCCTGATATCCGCTGAACCCGACATATGCCGTCGAAGCACTCAAGGGTTAAGTACGATTCAGATACTCGAAGTTCCAACATATAAAAACCCTATGCAACCTCTGAACAGGTCAGCCCTGAAGTTCTCTCTTTACGAGGGCCAACAACAAGACATACACATGTGGGTAGTTCCCTAAACTAGGCTACTTTTGGGGGTCCTCTTCATACGGGTGCTGTACTATTCGGGGGATCCCGAGAACTACCCATGCAGCTAGGATCTCGATAGGACGCAACATAAACGAACACCTCATATACATCAAATCATCGATAGAAACCTCCGGGCTGTGATGTCCCTGGCTCTGATACCTGACGGCCCAAACGACCAAATCCAATGTCTGAAAACCAATAGATCAGACCTTACTGTAAATCCTGAAATAATACGTATGAAGCTCTAATTGCTACAAACTACAAACCACACTAAGCAAATAGACCCCTGCTGCCTTATGCCTCCAAGGGTGACCATTACTTCCTGCAGTGCTATCGTCCACTCACCTGGACCCCACACGACACCTTCAACCCTAAATTTACTAAACTCGAACTTGCCTTGAGCGATACCTTACCTAAACCCTTTTTTTTGGAGCACGGACTTGGAGTGTATACCCTGAACCCCAAACCCAAAGGCCTGTGACCGTGTCCCGGCAGTTCCGCTCCCAGCGAACCCTGGCCGCAGCTTCCGTCGGGGCAGGCCCGGGTCCAGCGCAGATACCTCGGATCGACTGCCCAGAGAGCCCAATACCCCTTAGTTAAGGAATATGCCTCAAATCATAATACTAAGGCCCCTACAATTTAGGTATATGCCTCAATTATGGGGTATTGGGATCTCTGGGTGCTTGCTGTACCTCTCAAGGCTCCAAATAACACCCAACGCAATAGGGGTGTTCTGGTGTAGGATTCCGGGGGTTCAAGCATAGGGTGTGGCCGATAAGGATCGTATACCTGTTTAGGGTTTTTACGGTCTAGGGTTACATACTTACCAGAATCTGCTCTGAAAGTAAGCCACGAATGCCAGGATACCTCACCATAGACCCCGAGCCGAAACGACACCCTAAAGCTTTCATCAAAGGGGAAAAGGAGGGACCCTTCATGGGGACCCCTACCCTATAATGGGCTATATAATGGGTATATAATAGCTATACTAAGGCTATATACCTAAGGGTCCTTATTAAGGGTCCCTCCTTTTGCCCGAAAGCTTTTATGGCTGGGCCAACGAGAGCCGAGATGCTGGAGTGTTGGTTGACGCAGAAACAGCAGATCCTTGTCAGCGGCAGGGGAGCCAGGAACGAGGACCGTCTTTCGGTATTGCATGTATGCAAAGTATGTAGACCTATCTATCTAAATCTGTTGGCGTCTGTTATGCGAAGTGTCTTTCTGTAAACGCAGAACCTAGCCTCAAATCCCAAGAAGAAACGTTCGGGAAGTGGCATACTCGGACTGGGATTGGACCCACCATGAATGACGAAGCTGATGCTGAAACCATCTCTCAAGCCAAACCCTTAAGCCCCAACGCAAGTCTATCCCGAAGATTTGTGGGACGCGGCACATCGTGAGGGAACACTTGCAGGGTATCGATGGCAGGGGCCAAAGACACGAGACACGAGCGTAGGCTTGCGGTTTGAGGGCGCCTACACAGAGGCCCCTGTTCAGGCACGATCGGAATGGCAAGGACTGAGTTGACTGGGGATTCCAATTTTTGCCTCCCGCATGGCTGAGTACACGAAGCGGGGAGCTAGGTACAACAGTATGGTGAAACAGACAACTCATATTGTGTGGGCTTTATCATTGAAGGTCTGAGTCCTGTTCCGAGCTAATCAAGCCGAACCCTTAACCCTCAAACCGGCTGCCCAATAACTGGAGCCTTGGCTTCAATCATCTGGAGCCTTGATAAGCCTTAATGATTAGACTAGGGTTTTAGACTCATTTTTAATATAATTGTCATAAGGAAGACTAAGGAATAATGTTGGTAGTTATTTCGGCTTCTACATTACCCTGTTAATCCCTGTTACATTCGTCCTGTTACAGAGCGACGGTACTGACCCCGGTGTAGAAGCCATGGTAATGAGGACTCTCTATCACTGCTATAATTGTCGTTATTATGTTACTGTTGCTATTGTTCCTTTTCATCTCGAAATATGTCTGAAATTCCGAGTAAGTACAAGTCTAAGTTATTGCTGTTACTACTGTCGCTGCTAGTATTTTCTACTGAATCCTGTTCGGACCCTCGTCCCTACACCCTAAACCCTAGTACACAAAGGGGGCTCCGAGGGTCCAGTAGCTGTTGCCCAGCGTGCCCTTGGTGAGCAGCTGCTGCCGCAGGGTCTCCACATGCCCCTGCCGCAGGCAATGCGCAACCTTGTCGTACTCCTCGGTTTGGGGTTTAGGGTCGGCTAAGGGAAAAGGAAGTTCAACTCTTGCACGTGTGTGTTTGTGGGATTTGGTACATCCGTTGGGGCTGGTGTCTCGGAGTCTACAGTCAGCGATTAGGTTGAAGTGACAGAGCGGCAGTAGATTCTTTGAAGTTTCACATGGTTTCCCTGTTCGACTTAGCCACGCTTAAGGATTTTTGAATGCGCCTGTTGCATCTGAGGCTTGACTAACAGAGAGGTCCAAATAATTGCCAATACTGTTTTGGGGGATATACTATACTTATAGTATACTATACACCCAGGCTAAATATTACGACTCCTACATTAGTTGTCAGTATGTCTACGCACATCACGAAATTGAAGCTTGGTGCAGCCCCAGTCAACCAGGATGTGACGCCACTGTAGAAATACCTGCCACAAGTACCTGAAGGGCTTGGCCGAGATTCGTCATGACCCAGGGCGTCTGCCACGACGGCGGCTACGAGGTCAAGGAAGAGGTTCGACCAGGAGTGCGTCACCATACAGTCGGGCATCCGGTTGGCGACATGGCCAGTTTGCTGCAGCAGCTCTGCATAGGACATGCCACCCGAGCCCTGGCGCGATGCTGGAATGATTGCCTGGCGCACGACATCGTGGGTCGTGGACCGGCAGGGATCAAAGTGTGGCATCCGAGAGCCTTCACATCCCAAGCTCTCATAGAAGTCGAGCAGTTCGGAAAGGTTGATGCTGCGAAGTGCCAGTTCCTGCACTTTGTCGTTCTCCTCCGTTGTGGGAAGCTCCTGCGACATCCGGCCCTAGAACTTGAAGAACCGCTGAAAACACTCAAATCCAAACCCCAAAGGTTCTAGGTTTTATTGGCTTGTCCAAAACCCTTAAGACTCGGAGGCCTTATGATGATTGGAACATGGTTTGGGGTTATTTACATTGCACTATACTCTGTATTAGGTCTGTGCTGAGCCTAAACCTCGAACCCTAAAACGCGATAACCCTACAACCCACACCTCCGTCAGCCGACTCATGCCGCGCATGGCCCGGAGCCGTGGGACGCTCTGCTCGGCGAAACTGACTTTCTCGGGTGGCTTCCTTGCTGCGGTATCTTCTTGCTGCGGTATATATATATATATCTATATATATATATATATATATATATATATATATATGGTAATATATGGGTACTTGTCCAATTTAGGAAGGTCCCTTCTAGCGTCCTTTTTATCAGGATACCGTACTATATGGGGGACCTGAAGAAGGACGCTAATTTACAACTGTCCAAATGGAGTTCACAGGGCCATAAGACTTCTACAAGGTCTCTACTATAAGGCTGCTTCTAAAACGGCCCTACAAGGTTCTGTGAGAATTCTACAGGGGCTCTACAACGCTTCTATGAAGGCTGCGGGTCGAATCCCCTGCCAACTCGAGGCGTCGGGGTTTGAAGACCGTCTCACCCCACCCTATACTCTGAACCCTGACGTTGGCGTGGCATCGAGGCCCCGACGGAGCTTTCATCGAACCATTAACAATTCTTCAGAAGGACCCTGGCATAAAGACCCTCTTCTATGAAGCCCCCCCATGAGGGTGCTGGACTCTGGAATACTTACAGAAGAATACCTCTTAAAGAACCGTTCGTAGCGAATAAGAGGACCTGTATAGAAACCCTCCTGGAAGCCCTAAGTCCTAAACCCTAAAGCCTTCAAGGGGATCCTATGTTGGAACCCCATAGTCTCCCCTTAAGGGGACCCCTACTATAGAAACCCTAAACTAAACCCTGAAAGGACCTTGGGGGCCTTATCGAAACCCTCATAGAAGCCCCTCAGCAAGATTCAAGATCCCAACGATGAAGACGAGACCGATGAGCTCCGCCGTGACATCCTCGGCTTTTGTTTGGGAACTTGGGTTTAGGGTTTAGTGGTTTAGGGGTTTCAGCACTCACTCTCGGACGAACCACAGCGAGGTTTCCAGTGCCGGCGAAGGCACATTGGCCGCTCCCAGCGCATTAGCCCGGGACACATGAACAGCATCACAAGTTCCTGCCATCAAGCCTGCTAAAACTACACACCCTCGCAGCATCAACCTTCCGCAGCACTACAAGACCACAGGCTGGGCCCTCACATTTCACGACTCTTCGCATCTCTTGCACTTGCAGACGAATTCCCAGCATGCCAACCCCTGCACTCCCACGTTTAGGGTGTAGGGGTTTAGGGGTTAGGGGTAGTTCAGGGTTTAGGGTTTAATTAGGGGTTTAGGGTAACTTATACCTACTTGTCGGGTATCATGGGGAGCTAAAGGTTAACCTTTTTGGTTATATAGGGGTTATATAGGGGCTCTACTGCGCAAAGAAGGTTAAAGGTTACTTGCTCTACTACTAGGCTTAACCTGGTTCCTGAGTGGCCCCTTAATGAGAAGGGTGCCCTTTTCGATGCTATTTGGTTTCAGTAAGGGGACCCAAGAAGAAAAATAAATGGCACTACCCAGGAACCTAGTTAATCTAAGCTACCAGAATAAGGAATGCCAGCGTTTTACTCTAGACGATAGAGCCTTGTTACGGTAACTTGAACTAAGTGCCTTAGTAAAAGCCAAGAATCCATGAAGTGGTAGCCCGGCACAATCAGCTGCCTCCACTCCTTTCGGGTTCGACGCAGGAACAACTTACCCAGTCAAGTATATCAGTGCCTCCAAAAGCTTCCTTTGATAAAAGATAGCCCTAAAGGGACCGTGACTGTAGTAAGGCTCGGGGGGTGCGAACTCTAACTCCAGGAGTTTAGGGTGCTTTTGTGGGGAGTCTCTCATGCTCCACGACCAAAGACCCCTAAGTCCCAAAAGTAATATAGGGGCCTTAATCATTAGAATTGGCTTTGAGAGTATGTTATCTACTATAATTAAAATAAGGAGTCCCCAAAACAGTATATGTAATTACTACGGCCCCTGTATTAAGCGGCAAACGGCAACGATCTCCGAAGCCCAAACCCCCGTTCACCTCTGGAGCGAGGAAGATGGCAGGCAGGCAGAGGATGTGTGAGGCTGCGCTCAGGATGCAGGAGAAGCACACGGCCATAATCCTGGGCTCTGGTTAAAGAAAGGTAACTGATTACCCTAAACTGGGTCGATGGACAATAGTATATCTTTCATCTGAGTGTGGTATCATGACATAAGTTCCTGAGCAAGAACCCAGGATCATTCGATTCAAGACCCGCAAACACCAGTCGCGCTCAGCGCTTGCGTAACCTTGGCGTAGGATCTAGGGCCTCGCAGGGTTTAAGGTGTAGCGCTGGCAGAGTTGGACATTGATCACCACTAGCCCGCTTTCCATCTGGAATATCCGGCTTGGGCTATGCTCGGCTTCACCTTCTCCCCGACCAAAAACTGGCTTGGAACTGAACCTCTCTTCAACCCTACTCTACAGCCAAGGCAAAGTTCTGTTCTGAAGGAAACGATGCCACATGCACCACTCCAGTCACATCCGTCACGTACTGACATTGCGTATCGTAGAACTTTTAATCTCAAGAAGCCTCCACAACACTGCCAAAGCCTTACAGCCCGAATCTCGACAATGGTACCTGTAGCGGTAAACAATCATCATACCTGCGACACGGTGCTTGTACCTGCAGCAGAATACGCCTAGCAGCTACAGCCAGTGCCAAAACCCACGGGCCCGGACTGCCTTGATAATGATTCCCTAGTCATGATAAGGCTACCATAATACATCCCGAAAACCTAGTATGATGCTACTATAATACATCCTGGGACCTCTCTAAGACCAAGCCGCTCTCTTCGCGAACAGACACTTCCTGTCAGGGCCGGACGCGACTGGTTTAGGGTGCACTATAGGGGCCTTACTAATTAGAATAGGGTTTTGGCAGAACAACTTTCGGCACTCACAACTTGAGCAAAAAAACAACTGTAGGGTTAAACGTGTGGTTTGTTTATGGGCATAGAGTACCAAAGCCGCCTTCCGGAACATTAAGGAATATGCTTGGTGTCTATGCTGTTTATGCTTTAGGGCTTACGGGAGAATATTATTGGCATCTAAACATTTTGGCCTCTGCATTGGAGGGTTTCGGGCTTGTGGGCGCGACCTCAAGCCAGGTGTCTGCAGAACACCGGTGTTAAACTGATGCCTGTTTTTAGAGCTTGCGGAAATTGTAGCCGCAAATTGGTTGGATTGTCAAAACAACTGTTGCAGCAGGTGTCGGTCGTCAAAACAGTTGTTGCGACAAGCACCGCAACCTCCAAATCAGTTCAGCCACATCTCCTAGGTCACGATGTCTTACCGAAGCCCCCAACAATTCAGGGTTTTGGGGTCTCAGCGCGAATTTCTTAACCCGAAACCTAGAGCACTAAATCTCGAAACCCAAGCTTAACTTCACAACCCCAACACCCGAACTACGCGAGTCCCAAGCAGTGAAGAAACACCTGGCAGTGCCTGTCAGCCGACATGCACCCCGGATTGCAGGACTGTGCGGGGTGTCCGCAGCTTTTCGCGGAGGCACAAAAACGAGTTGCAGTCGCGGCAACGTGATCACGGGACTGTGTTTGGAGCGCAATTTCAATGTTCGCCAAAGCACCAGCCACATCAGAACGGCTTGATTCGAGACCACACGAAGCATCGCCCAAAGAGGCCCTGCTATGACTTTAGCGACTTCGAGCGATCTTCGAGCGATCTGAACACAAGACTGTCAAGGGACCAGCGATTCAAGCTGGAGATCCGCTTTAGAAACAACCTCAGAATCTCGCACTTTGAGTGTTCCTGATTAAAGTTGTGGTGTATATAATATACCCCAAAACCCTATTCTAATTATTAAGGCCCCCATACTATCACACAGTTTGGGGAAGTTTTTGCGACACCGCCTTCAGAGCTCGTTTCACCCGACGGAAAGCTCGTACCGCCACGACCAGAGTCATCAGAACCTCAGATACTATGGGGGCCTTAATCATTACAATATGGTTTTTGGGGTAGATGATACCAGAATGATAATACGCAATCCTCAAATCCCAAAACAGTATAGGTAATCATTAAGGTATGCATCAAAGGCGGGACTGTTTACAAGCGGGGACCCCGCGAACCTCTGTATGGCGTCTGATTGTCTGTACAGATATGCAGTATTCCTGCGATAGCAAGTACATGCCCGGGCCTTGCATAGTAGTGTATAGGTTGAGAGTGGGTGTGTCTTTGGCTGAATGTAAAATTCGGGGGCTTCGCGATCCGGGTTGAGCTGTGGGTTTGGGACTTGGGAATTCAGGGCTCGGGCTCTAGCAGAAATCGCACAATCTTCGCCACTTACGCGACCAGGGCTTCGGGCTTCATAGGGCCTAGGGGTATGGGACGTTATGCGGGCTACACCCATGAGAAGCTACCCCTCAAGTTGCGAATCTCCTGCATATGATCTTTCGAGCGTGTCGCACTTGTCAGCGCAACAAGCAGGAATTAGGCTGTTCGTGTGGGTTGAAGCGATCAATGTCGTTGCCAAGATTCGCCCGCTCCGGCCACAACATGATAGACAGAAGACCTTGGCTGACTTCTGAACCCCTCCCAAAAGTTTGAGTTTAGCGTCCTTACAAAAGTTCATAGAGAAACCCCCAAAAGGTTAGAGGCCTAAGAGCCACGCAGAAGAACGCCAAGAGACAACACTTGAGTCACCATCGTCGTCTGGGTCTGCCCATAGATGCGCACGAAATCTATCGCGATCTGAAGGACGAAGAAGCTCCAACCTCAAGGCGACAGATTTTAAGGCTTAAGGCCTTTTTTGGGGTTTAGGGTTTAGGGCAGCCCTTCAGGAGGGCTTGGGGCTTTAGGGTTAATGGGTAGTTATAGGTGGGGATATAAACGTCCCCTAATAGGAGTTATCATTGTAGTTACCCTACTTAGAACTCCACTCATCACTACCCATGACCCTCCAAGTAGGGCTTTAAAGACTCAGGGAGAAGATGGCAAACCACGTCTTGTGAGACAAACCTCTCGGGAAGGGATCACACCGAAGTTTCTGGGTTTTCAGCGGTTTCGCACTATAAATGCTTGCTTCTCGACCTGAGACATAACATTGAACCATCAATTCGTTCTCAAAAGTGGACCCCAACAGCAAAGCCAGGCAACGAATCTGCCGCACTTGCTTCGCACCCAGCTCCACACCAATGCCCCGTTCCGTAACCTTGAGGCGTTTCCTGGCTGGTCCCACGGCAAGGTTTACAAGCTTCAGACCATCAAAATTATGAAAGAGGCCCACTGATATCATCTAATGTGTAGCAGAACAAGCGTATATGATTCATGTGCATGTCAAGACCAGTACTGGCGCTTTGCTCAAATGGTGTCTGAACCCTCCACCCAAAATCCCAAACCCTGAAGCCCAACCCTAAACCCCTACATCCCAAGTCGTCGGCTCTGAAAGTCTCTCTGAGAAATCGTGTTGAGCTCCGTTGCCCTTTTTGCACAGACTTGCAAAGGCCCGCCAGGATCTCAGAGCTCCGTAAACCTAAACCACAAACCCTCAAACTCGAGCTTTTCAGACTGAAGCCCGGCTGCTGGATCGAGTAGGTGAACGCGAACTCTAGGCAAGCGCAATTCCTTACGGTTTCAGCGCTCGCAACTGGAATAGGGTTTCGAGGCTCGCACTCCGACAAGGCAGGCAAGGCTCCTCATAGGAGACAGGGTTTAGGGCTTTACGGCTCGGGGTTCCGGGTCTGGGTTAAGGGTAGGTTTCAGTGTGTACTTTTTGGGGCCTCGATAATTTTGGGGTTTCCTGATTAAAAGTACAGTATGATGGGCCCCAAAAGCCCATTCTATTAGGCTTCGAGGTTTGGGGCGTCGGTTCTCTCGCAGCTCGCATGAAGGCAGGCGAGGATCCAGAGAAGTCAGGGCCCCAACCGATGAAAACTCGGACCCGAGCCACAAAGGACTCCAAGCACTCCCATGAGGGCTTGGGGCTTTAGTTTGTTTTTTGTTTTTTTTTGGGGGGGGGTCGGCTTCAGGGGTTTAGGGTTTGCGGTTTTGGAGTGTAGGGAAGTCTAGGGTATCCCAGCATCAGCAAACCGCCAGGACGACTCGCGGTGGGCGGCAACACGTATACACAAACGGAGCTAAAGTCAGAAGCAAAAAACAGGTTTACGCTTCTGAATTAAGCTTAAGCTTCATTCTTCAAGACTCAGGGTTGAGGTACCCAAGAATGAAGAGACACGCCTGATCTAGCAACCAACCTTCAAAGAAGTCAGCAGAGATGCCCTACTACCCCGCCGTCCCCTGGCGTTCATCCTGTACCCTACTTGGAGGTTTATGGGTATAAGTGGAGATATAACTTCCCCAAAGTTCAAGCCCTCGAATCCTACACCCAAGAAAAGAAAGCTGAGATCCCAAGCGGTATGAAGCTAAGCAGGAACCTTCAGACACAGCACACCTGTAGAACTAAGGTAGCAGCATCACAGTATACTTGGAGGTTCATGGGTAGTTATAAATGGGGTTTTAAGTCCCCTAATCGGGGTTACAACCTTTAGCTTCCCTACTTATAACCCCACTTATAACTACCCATGAACCCTCAAGTAGGCACTAAACCCTATACCCTTATAGAATCCCTATAGATCCCTTTAAAGGAACCCTTCTAACTACCCATGAACCTCCAAGTAGTGCTTCTGATTCTGGCCTCTTTGAGCCGAGGTTCAAGCGATGCAGAGCTAAAGCAACTGACTGGATGTAGCTTGGCATGCTGCACCTTGACACGGTGTTCCGCTCAGAACGTTCTGTTTTGACTCGGGGTCTAGGGCAGTTGGGAATTTGGGTTTGAGGTTGGGATGTAGGGCTCAGAACTGGGGTTCTTTGTGCTGCATTCAGCTTTAGCTTTTTGCTTTCTGCGCATGCAAGTTAATGTCGAAAGGTTGTCGGTCTGCACCGATTTGGGGTTTATGGTTTACAAACCGGATCAAGATTTGTTTTTGAATTAGGGTTTCAGGGTTGTTAGATTTAGGTTCTACGGTTTGTGGTGTGTGGTTTATTGGGGCTTTGCTGTAAGGTTGTGGGAACGGTCTAGGTCTTAGTCTTCGGTTGTGGGGTGTTTGGTTTAGGAGCAAAGATTATGCCGAAAAGCCGAGGCACCATTTGGTCAGCTCATGGGTCGCACCTAGTAGCCAGTATGCCCAACCGATCCTTACCAGAATAAGGAAGCCAGATTAGTTGGTATAGATCCGTACTATAGTAACTCAATTTAAACTCGGCTGACTTTTGAATCCCTCCTAAAAGTCAAAGCTTTAGCCTCCTTCGAGAAAGCCAAAATGTTAAAGTCCTAAGAGCCAACAAGAAGAACGCCAAATAAATGCCTCAACAAGAACCCAGGATCATGAGGTAGACGTGCAAGGACCAGACCATCTCAGAGGAGCGGTCGATATTTCGCCAGAAGACGCGTAGAAAGAAGACCTAAGTTCCACGGTTTATGGTTTAGGGTTTAGGGTGCCTGACAACAGGGGTACCCCTTTTTTCCATTACTTGGTGTCGAAAATGGAACCCCAACAGAAACAAGGGCAAAAGGGTACTCCTGGGGAACGTAGTATCCTAACTCGATAGCCACTTAAGGGACACTGCGCCCTCCTAAACCCTAAACCCAACAACTAAACCCTACATAACCCTTACAGGATCCAGTATCCTAACTCCTAAACCCCTCAAACCTAAACCTTATAAGCCTTAAAGGAACCCTCATCCCCTTCAAACGGACCCTAAGCCCGTGTAAGGGAAACCTAAGCTCCCCTTAAAGGAACCGAGAGACCATGCAGAGATGCCCTGCCGCCAAGACCTGATATACGATGTAGAGGTCGTCAGCCTGGGGTCTGGCTAAAAATCACCTCCGGATCTTAGGGTTTCTCCGGATCTTAGGTTTAGGGTTTAGGGTTGTTGAAGAAAAACTTTTTTACAAAATAGGTCGAAACAAACAGATATGCCAATAGTACTACTAGTGATAGCTATACTGATAAGGGTCTTAAAACTTTTGACAGCAACACTAACAACATAATGATAATAATGCTAATGAACCATAGCAAAGGCCCCTATTGCCGTAAGTTAAGTTCCTTGGTCAGAACCCAGCAGCGGGTAGGATAGCTGTTGAGGATGCTGTACACTCATCCATCCGTGTCGACGGAATCACCATCAAAGCCACCTTCGGGAGGTAAACCCTAAATCACGCAATTCAGGGGCCTTAACAAGTGGAACAGGGCTTTGGGATACGTTATTGTATACTCATTGGTCATGTGATAATAATGAGAAGCCGCACAAACGTAAGGAATAGTGCTGTGAATTTTTCAAGCTTCTATACAAGGGCTTCGACACACAAAAGCAGGCGAGGCTGCGGCGACGTGACTCCACAAATAAACCTCCATAACCTACTACCAACAACCAAAACGAACAAAGCACGCCTAGTTTGAGTGCCTCGGACTCAAGATTCAGTGCCAGGCAATATAAGAGGGCCTCAATCATGCAAAAGGGGTTTCGTCATCTGCCAGCCTGGAAAGCTACGAAGATGCAGGGAATCAGTCTTCTCCAAATCCGTGCGGGAGTGACGTGCTCGGTTTTCTCCGAGTCGACGCTGGTTAAGGAAGCTCCTGGATTGACTTGAATCGTTTAGGGTTTAGGGTTGAAGCTTTTGAGATACTATAGGGGCCTCATAATCAGATTAGTTTCTTGTGGTACATGTGTACGACTATTATTAAAAAAGGGAGGCTTATTGAATATTGAGAAGTTGGCAGGATACCAAAAGAAATATTATATGAATCATTCATCAAGAACTCCGTGGGCTTGGGGTTTAGGGGAGTGAATCTAGTGTGCAAAGCACCAAAAAGAGTCTGGAGAGCAGTTGTTCTCAGAATCCCATCCCAGCCCGAGAAGCCCTAGAGCAAAAATACACCTAAACCATCAGAAGCTCCACAAACCCACAGTGCCCTTACGAGCCAACCCCAAGGGCATAACTGCCCGAAATTTCTCACCAAAGACCTAAGATGCATACAACATACATGTACATGTACATACATACTTACATACAAACATACATACCCACCTATCTACATCATACACACATATGTGTATGTATAACTCTCCCTCTCTCTCTCTCTCGATATCCAGGTCTATCTACGCGGAGACACTTTAACCCGGAAAGTCGGTCTATTCGCCGCCTACTTGGAGCCACAAGGTTTTCTGGCGTGCCAAGTGTCTGGCGTGGCTGGCATCCACACTCGAGGATTTCGACCCGCGGCAGCAATCCGCTGTTTTCGCTTCGCTCTTCATGGCGTGTACCCAACAGGCCAATTTCTTGCGTAGGGGGCTTAGTAGAAATGTGCCATGTCGACGTTTTGGCTGTTGCTGGGCTTGGGGATCGAGGCTTTAAGTCCTGGTTTGTTGGATCTCCTTCGGGAGGGCTTGAGCCAAGCCACGTACATCGAGCGAAAGCAAAGGATGAAGCTGCAGCGTTAAATCCAAAGGTTTAATCGGTAGCGGCCAACAAGAAAAAGACCTGCCTCATGCTCAAATAGTTGCGGCAAGAGCCGCTACTACAACACAAGCAAAACCAACTCCTGCTATGGCGACTGCTACTGCTGCTGCTGCTAGTGCTGCTGCTGCCGCTGCTGTTGCTGCTGCTATGCTGCAGTTCTACACTGTTCTACATTCTGTCAGCTCGCGGCGTGCTCTCAGAGTCATGCAAAAATGCCGCGACGCAAGATGCAGCTTCTTGAAACGGACAAACCTACACCCTTTTGACAAACCTACACCCTAAACCCTAAACCCAACACCCCAAGCCCCAAACCCTGGGTCCCAGCCCTTAGCCCTCCAGCCAGTCGGCAACTTTTCCTCTTTGCAACCGATACCGTCGCTCTGTGCTCAACGAATCTCTGCTGGGCTGCCACCATGTCCAATCAACCACGGGTCAAACCAAGTAAAGGGAACTCCAGAAAGTTGGAATATGATTTCAGGGTAGGATACCCTATAATTTACCATAAAGGGTTTAGGATAATCATATTCCAACTTTCTGGCTTTTACTATACGTGCGATGTGGGGTGGCACCCAAGAGAAGTTAACATCCGAGCCTGAATTACCAATGCTATTCCTTAGGGCTCCTTCTTATAACCATACGAAAGCATTAACATATCCCAAACCCTGTTCTGTCTGAAAAACCCCTTCATATAACTATACGAAAATAGTTGCCAAAAGCCTGAAACCCTAAAGCCAAAGCCCTTGTCTGACTCTGAAGGCCCCTACATTTCATGCGAAGAGAGTGCGGCACAGAGCAGGAGTGCCTCAAGTAATGTAGGGGCCTTTTCTAATGGGATAGGCCTCCTTTAAAGCATCCCTTTGAAGGATTTCTCTAGGGCTTACTATACGAGTTGTTTAAGCTGGGGGCATTAATCATTAGAACAGGGTTTTTGGGCAGATTAACACTATAGTTTATAATAAGGAGCCCTCAGAATAGTATTGGAAATTCTTTAGGCACTACACTGTCTGAGGATCTTAAGGATTGAGTAGTTGAAAAAGAGGTTTAGGGCCTATTTGCTATGATTGTAATGATTATAATGCAATTACGTTGTCGTGGTCTTTGGAAGCCTAGCTAGGATCCGCACATTCTCTGTCAGTGCAACCGGCTTCGTGAAGTTGATCTGAGAGATGCAGACAAAACGGGATTCTGGGGGCCACTGCTGCCTAGTTTGGTGGGGTTCGACAGGCAAGCGATAAGTCGCGGCCGGAGATGCAGCTCAACCAGATGGCAGCATGACCCAGCAAAGCCTAGCCCATCCACCAGCCACTCGAAACAACGTCTGAGAAGAAGTGACTCGGCAGGTACAGCTTGGAAACTTGAGGTTTCATAATTTTGGGTCCCCCAGTATGACACGCAAGCCCTTTCGATGCCAGGCGATGCAGGTTGTGTCAACCTAAAGACGCGGAGTTTAGGGTGTAAGGCCTTAGGGGTTAGGGTACAGCGGAACTCTGACGTCCGGCGCGCTGTAGGGGGCCCTGGCCACTAGTTGGCCGCAACGATTCGCACTGAAAGGAAAGGCTGGCCAGCAGCCCTTCGTCTAAACGCTTAGGGGTGGGTTCCGATGTTCAAAAGACCCCCACGGATCACGAAGCAGCTAGCTTCGCCGGGGAGTCCTCAAACAGAACCCTGAGACTAAATGCCCCTGGGAGTGAAACGATCCAAACAAAAAGTTCTTGGCGCCAGCACTTCCCAAGCCTTGGAAAGAATCCCTGCGCACCCTAAACCGGGTTCCTTGTTATGGTTTCTATGTAGGAATGCTGAAATAAGTAGGGTTTTGGGGGGGCCACAAGTACTTTCAGGACAGCCGCAGTTTGCAGGGCGGCCATGGCAACAAATCGCAAAACCAGGAGTTGTCACTGTAGAGCCTGATCAGTTCTTCCCTCTCGCATGGCTAGGGATTGATGATTAAAAGAGGGCTTTGGGGTATCATTATACTATTGTTCCAAGTCGATAGTATTGGTAATTATTCTGACAGAGCTTGCAGCTGGCATCAGGAACAGGGGTAACAGAATGTACCACAACCGATCTTATTTGATGGGCGGTCTGATGCCTGCGATTAACTCGAGTTCGTTCGATAGTTGCTAACGGTCCCCTGCAAGCACCCAATCCAATACAGATGTTCGCTTCCGAGAATCCCTCCACCTCAGATTCACCTCAACACTTCCCTGACGCGCTAAGAATGTTACTCCATACTGGAAAGTGCTGCCTGCGGTTGTGCAGCGGTCTCACAGAATTCAAATATGGCACAGGCCGCATGGAGCGTGCATCGGCAAAGGGGCGCTTCTGACCCCCTCTCCACAGCTCCGGCACAAAAAAAACACAATTCACGCTGTCGGGCTCAGCTGGCTTAGACTCTCATGCACTGCCGCTATAGCCGGTCGATCTTCCCTAAACTCCTCAATGCAATCACTCACCAATTCTAGGAGGGCAGTCTTGGCGGGTCCCGGCGTGGGGCTCCACGCTTCATGGAAAACCACCCGGTTCCGCCGTGCGCTTCGGTAATGGTCGGCCTCCTCTCCGCATCCGGTGCCAATCATCAGGTCTAGAAGCACGATGGCGAAGGAAAAAATGTCAGACTCCTCCAACTTCAGGGGGATGGAGACAGTGGAGACCCTGGATCCTTGCCCTTGATACAGCCACTGGTGTCCTAACCCTGCCCAGCAAATCTGCACTTGCACTCCTTGGTGGACCCTCCGCCGCGAAGGCTGTCCGGATCAAGGTAACCCGGGCTCCCACACACTCGACGAGTGCTGGACATCGACCGTCGCATCGCCCGGTCCTCATTGAGTGGGCAATGACTAGGGGGCGGCTGTGCTTCGGCCACCTCATGTTGCGCTTCTTGATCGCAGTCTCATTTTGTAGCAGGTCGCGGCAGCAGTCGCACCAGCATGGTAGAGGATGTCGTCGTCGTCGTCGTCGTCGTTGTAATAGCAGCAACAGGAGGAGGAGTAGTAGTAGTAGTAGTAGTAGTAGTAGTAGTAGTAGTAGTAGTAGTAGTAGTAGTAGTAGTAGTAGTAGTAGTAGTAGTAGTAGTAGTAGTAGTAGTAGTAGTAGTAGTAGTAGTAGTAGTAGTAGTAGTAGTAGTAGTAGTAGTAGTAGTAGTAGTAGTAGTAGTAGTAGTAGTAGTAGTAGTAGTAGTAGTAGTAGTAGTAGCAGTAGCAGTAGCAGTAGCAAGCAGTAGCAGCAGTAGCAGTAGCAGTAGCAGTAGCAGTAGCAGTAGCAGTAGCAGTAGCAGTAGCAGTAGCAGTAGCAGTAGCAGTAGCAGTAGCAGTAGCAGTAGCAGTAGCAGGAGCAGGAGCAGGAGCAGGAGTAGTAGTAGCAGGGGCACTTAGCAGTAGCAGTAATCGGTACTTGTCGTCGTAGAAGTAGTAGTAGTAGTAGTAGTAGTAGTAGTAGTAGTAGCAGCAGCAGCAGCAGCAGTAGTAGTAGTAGTAGTAATAGGAGTAGGAGTAGTAGGAGTAGTAGCAGTAGTAGCTTGTCACCCACCTAGCACGGCAGTAGTAGTAGTAGTAGTAGTCGTCGTAGTCGTGGTGGTGGTGGCGGTGGTGGTGGCGGTGGTAGTAGTCGTAGTCGTAGTCGTAGTCGTCGTCGTCGTAGTCGTAGTCGTAGTCGTCGTCGTAGTCGTAGTCGTCGTCGTAGTAGTAGTAGTAGTAGTGGTGGTGGTAGTCGTAGTAGTTGTTGTTGTAGTAGTAGCAGTAGTAGCAGTAGTAGCAGTAGTAGCAATAGTAGCAGTAGTAGCAGTAGTAGTAGTATTAGTAGTAGTAGTAGTAGTAGTAGTAGTAGTAGTAGTAGTAGTGGTAGTGGTAGTGGTAGTGGTAGTGGTAGTGGTAGTAGTAGTAGTAGTAGTAGTAGTAGTAGTAGTAGTAGTAGTAGTAGTGGTAGTAGTAACAGTCGTCCTCGCAGAAGTAGAGGTATAAGAGTGAAGGGGTGCAGGACTGTAGGAGTGTGAGCAGTGGAAAGACGAGCGGGGCGCTAGGACTCCTAACTGCTAGCTGGTATTGGTGCTAGCACGAACAATGCCTGCGAATATGCCTCCAGACCGCTTGCTACTGCTGCCGTTCTTGCTTCTGCCACTGCCGGAGTACTGCGGTCATGCAAATCGAACCGAATCTCCCAAGCGAACTTGATCGCTTCAGAGACTGCATGCTGCATACAGGAATGCCCGTCCTGGGCACCTTTTGCCAGCCCGAAGTCGGACCTTGGACACCCGACTCTTGCTGGTGGGAAGCCGGTGCCTAGTGGCCGGAATTGGTACGGACATCTTCAAACTAAGGCGCAATTTCAGGGCCGTAAGACCAGCGGTATGCTCAAAGCTGACCAAGACCTTGCAGGAGCAGGGCAAGTCCTAACTGTTCCCAAGCAAAGGTCTGTCATTCGATGCGCACGACAGTTCTTGAGAATTCTGAAGACTAGGGACGTCTTGAATATCTGGGCCTCAAATGCCCAGCTAGGTTCGAAAGATTAACCCCGACTTTGTGAAGGCGAAAAAAACTTGGCTGGAAGCGGCGACTGGGGAGCATCGGCACACATTCACGAACTGTTGGTGTCAGCAACAACAACCCTCGCAACACGGGCAGCGAGCGGCCACATCATTTTGCAATCCCTCCTGTCAAAGTGCGCACGAGTGCCCAGTACAGGTCTCATGCCCTCCGTCTGCGCCGCTGGCACTTGTGTCAACTTTGTGCGCTCCCGCAATGACCTAGTTTGGTACCCTCCTTCATCCCCATGCCTTTCTCCTGACCATCCACCTTCCGTGGCGGTTTCTCTGGGGTATCCCTTGGATACCCCTTGCGTGTTGAATGAAGTGCTTAGTGTAAACCAGGTCAAGCTAGCATGACAACTGTTTGGCAGATTGGGGCACGTTGGCAGGCTTGATGTCGCGGTGGATGACGTCGAGGCTATGGATGTAGCGGATCGCTTCAGACAGCCTTTGCTCACGGCTCGACGGCATGACCGGAGACCCAGTGTGTAAACCCTTATTTCGGGACCATGATTAAAACAGGGTGTTGGGATATACTCTACTGCAATTACAACAAGGACGCCTAAAAACTGGTTGTGGTAGTTGTCTGCACTTAACTAGGCTGAGGCTTCTACATGACTCGACCCGTGCATCTGAGCCGGGCTGCTGCGTTGCGGCGTTGAGCCTCATGTTCCAGCTAAAGGCAGCGTTGGGCAAGATCTGGAGCAAGTTGTCTGGCGACACGAACCTTGGGGGACATGGCAGATGTTGCTTGTCAACTACCACCACACTCGACGCGCTACCAACCACGAATACAACACTGGAACTTCTAAGGCTTTGTAAACGACATTGCAAGACGTTCTGTATCTAAATTTCCCCGCCCACCAGAAACCGAACAAAAACGGTCCGGGCATGTTTTCAACTACGATGTGATGTAGTCAGCATCAGAACGAAGAGCGTTGTGCAGTGCCTGTGTTCGTCAACTTCGCTCCTAATTGTACACAGCACATGTTGGTCCAGACGCGGGAAACTTCAGAGTTTCATGACGCCCTGCCGTCCATGCGTCCGGTCTGAACTGCCGTCAGGCAGCTCTTGGATGATGATGAAGTGGGAATCCCTCGTCTCTCCGGAACCCAGGAACTTGACAACGTTGGGATGGCTCAGCCTGTGCGCAAAATTGGCGGAGCGATCAGAACCAAATGCTCAGTCCGCTCCGCCTCAGATTAAGCACATCTGGGCTCGATCGCTTCAGCAAACTATAGAGATGGTGATGAAACAGCAGGGCACGCAGACTGCGCCAAGAAATTTGCTAGCAATTTAAATCCTCCATTTAAACCCAACCTAAACCGGCCCCGCACAAAAACCCCCCAGAAAGGCTGCGAAGATCTTTCGCCTCTGCAGTGTCTCGACCTCTTGGTGGAAGAGCGCGCTGTCATTGTGCATGGCATTCACGAGGAGCTGGCTCTCCTGTGGCGCTTGTGTTTTCTATCCAAAGACAGAAGAAGTATCCCGCGCATATTTTAGGCGCGTATGTGTGTGTGTGTGTGTATATATATATATATATGTGTGTGTGTATAGATACATACATACATATATATAAAAATATATGTACATATGTGCATGTGAAATATGTCCGCATACCAGCCCATCAGACTGGAGAGCTTCACATGTCAAGCAGCTTCCAGGCGGGACTTTGAGCTGTCGGGACACAAGCATAACGGCATAACGGTTTAAAGTTCAGGGTTCAGAGATTAGGGCTTAGCCAAGCTGTGCTCTAAACATGCAGCTGCGCACATCATCGGGAGCCCATGCGCTTTCTCTCTGCCCGTCGACACGCTTGACGGTGCTCCGGCGCAGTTGGGAAACTATAACTTTTACTCCTATCAGGGAGTTATACTTATCACCCACTTATAACTGACCATGAACCTTCAAGTACAGAGCCCTTAATAGAAGCCTCAAAACAGAACGCCTAAAGGAACAACACATCCACTCCTGCGAGCGCAGGACCTTTGCCGCAACGCGGCCGGAAGGCAACTGGACGCCGTAGACATCCTGGGCTCTTGCTAAACGTACTTGTCGGGTATCATGGGGAGCTTAAGGTTGGCCTTTTTGGTTTTGTAGGGAAAATTTAGGGACTATACTGCCCAAAAAGGTTGAAGGTTACCTACTCGACTACTTGGTAAAGGGTTTATAATAAATGAGCATCATAAGGAACCATATCATTTACTAGAGATCTCAATTATGATAACTGATAGTACAACCAAGTATCGCAGGTTCCGCCATCTGCCAGCCAGTAAGACCTGGCAAACCGTAACATCCTGCAACATACAAGGAAAGCCGTGATAATCGGGCTTGGGAGTATTTTCTTGTATGAATACATACAATAGCAAGGGACCCCATAGAAGAATTTTTGTAATCATTCAGGCCTACTATGTTGGCCACTGCCTCTGCCTTGGCGGCGTCACATGCAGCAACGAAATCTGCACCACCCCGGAATTGAAAATCTTCTTTAGCTGGCATTTGCGGAAATGGGTTCTCCAACAACCCTGGCAACCGTCCAAACCCCTGGACCCAGACCCCCTAACCTCTATAAACATAACCCTAGAAATCCCAGCGCACCTGGCGAACCACTCGGAGGCAACTTCGGCCTGCAAAGAGATGGACTGCTGCGAGAGGTCAGCGACTTGCAGATGGTTGTCTGGAAACCAGCCTGGGGTTCAGGGCTCAGGATTAAGCTTTCTTTTAGACGCTCCTGTTCTGTTCGCCGAAGTGTCCAGAAAGCGGTTTAGGGTTTAGGGTTTAGGGGCTCAGGAGTTGATTAGGCTTGACGGGATTTGTTTGTTTAGGGTACTTGGAGGTTCATGGGTAGCTATAAGTAGAGCTATCAAGTTCCCGAATACGGGTACTTATAGGGGGTGATAAGCCCACTTAGAACTACCCAGGAGCCTCCAAGTAGTGGTTTAGGATTATTGTTTGACGGGGTTTACGCTCTCGGGGTCTCTGGGTCCGGCTAGGGTTTATAGGGGTTTCGGATTTATGTTTGAAGGGGCTTGCCTAGGGGTTTAGGGATTGTCCCAGGCATGGGTAAGGGATCCGGATACTGAAGATTTAAGGCCGAGTGTGATCTTCAGAGCTCAGGTCGTCAAGTTTGGGGCATCAAGCAAGGGCATGGGCGTGGAAGCCCGAAAGCCCAGTACCCCTGACAGAATACAACTAAAATCATGATGTCTCTGATTTACGCCCGCTTCAACTTCAGGCATAATTCCTTCAAATTACCCTTGATAGGGCCTTTATGGTCCCTAGTAAGGGGTTTGGGGTACTATGGAGGCCTCAAGAATTACCGAAACTATTCTGGAGTTCCTTATTATAATGAAAGTGCGATATCCCCCAAAACCCTATTCTAATTATGAAGGCCCCTAGAAATACCCCTAATAGGGGTATCCTAACGAGGTCGCGCTTTCTGGGAAGTGCTGCGGAGCGCCTTCACAGGAGCCTTCTGCAGCTTCGCTCTTGGCCCACACTTTGCGCCATCCGCCGTCCAGCTCGGGATCCTCCTTTGGGGATTTGGGGGGTTTAGGGGATTTGGGGGGGTTAGGGGATTTGGGTGATTTCGGGGAGTAGAGTACGGGTTTAGGAGCTTAGGAGTTTATAGGGCTTCTGGTTTGAGGGTTTTGGGCTCAGCTTTCGATTGGAGAAACGATGAGACATGGCTTCTACTCTGAATGCTGCAAAATTTGAGATCCGCCTCACTCCAGAATACCCAGTCACCACGGCGCAAGCTCAAGTAGACCTTGGCTCAGCTTGGGCATGCAAGTACCACCCCGTTTTGGAAACTTCGAAGCTTGAAGCAGCTCACATAAAGCACAACAGCGTTTCTGCTCAAATCCACATCAACACGCAAGAGTGAACTTCACGGATGTTTCTATCATGGCTGATGTATGCTGCTGATCGCTTTTTCACTGGCCGGGTGACAGTTGCCAATATTCTCCGACAGGATCCTTCTAAGCCGGAGCCCCAAACTTACCACCCTGACATTTCATTTTGTTTCACCCACTTCTGTCCTCCCAACCTCTGTGTCGCTGTCGTCTCTGACTGTCCCCATTCCTTCCTGTCCGTTTCTGTCTGACTCGTTGCTCTGGTTGTGTGTGTGTGTGCCGTTATCTTTCTCGTCATCTTCCTCTTGCTGTCTCTTATCTCTCTTCGCCGTTTCGTTTCTCCCTGACGGAGATGTATTGTGTGGCAAAGTCTCAAAACCATGTTTTGCAATTTCTGTGCTCTACCGCAGTATCTATGCTTGCTTGCTTTTGTTGGTTTCTCTCTGGCTTATCTGTGTCGCGCTCTCGTCGTGTCAATCTCTCACTGACTTTTTTCTCTCTCTCTCTCTCTCTCTCTATCTATATATATATATATATATATATCTATCTAATTTGTAATGTAATAATTGCCAGAAAGTTGGAATATGATTATCCTAAACCCTTTATGGTAAATTACAGGGTATCCTACCCTGAAACCATATTCCAACTTTCTGGAGTTCCCTTTATGCATCTACATCTCCCTCTCTCTCTCTCTCTGCGGCTGGGTGCCCTTCACTGATTCACGGCCACTGGGCAGGTGCCGTGCGGCCGGAATGCATTGCGTGCAGACTCTGCTTTTGCAACAACAGCAGATTCAGAATAGAAGTCAGTCAGTCAAACCACTGGTGAGTTTCTTCATCTCAAACAGCTTTCGTTGACTATGGTGATGTTACACGACCAACCCGAAGCAGCTACTTTCGCGCAGCTTTTGGCAAGCTGCGTCCACCGTGTCTCTGTCGTATCCTTCCTGCGCTGCATCAAAGTTGTGCACGACCTTCGCATAGACCTGCATTTTTGTCAATCACTTCCAGCACCTTCTCCCGAGCATACCGCACAGCAGCACGACCGGCCTTGCCATTTTGCTGCACAGCCTCGGGCATCTCTGGAAATGGCAGGGTCTGCGGAGTTCCTGGTGAACCTGGGGCTGAATGCCCCGTGGCGCTGGTGCTTTCACCTGTCTCCTGGGCAGGGTCACAATCAGCTGGTCACCACAGCTGTATCAGAAAGATGTGACACAGAGACCGAATTCGGCATCACACCAAGCAACTACATTCAACGGGATCCGTTTGCAAACAGTCGTTGTAAGCAAATCTGGCGGCACCCTTGCGCTGACAAGAAAGACTCAAGCTGTAACATCTCATACAGCCCAGTCACCGGCCACCATCGCTTGAGACGTGAAAAGTACAACTCATGAAACTCAAAACAAGAGTCATCAATGTTACACCAACGTGTTGCATGTACCTGCGACTACTGTAAACCATGTTGCTACCAAGTCAGCAGTCTAACGCAAGCATCATCATCATCACCACCAGCATCATCAAAAACGTCCTCTTCACCATCGCGTTCGTCATCAATCTCTTCCTCTTCCTCCTCCTCTGCCGCATCCTCGGCCTCGTCGTCGACCACCACGCGCATTAGCACAGTTGTCAGCCTCACCATCCTCATGTTCGTCTGCTCGTCCTTGTCTGCATCCTGGACATCACCTTCATCGACATAGGCCCCAGCAAAAAACACAAAACAACAGATCGCTAAATGAATACACAGTAAGAATGGACATCATAGCCAATCGACTCCGAAACACAGCTTCCAACCGAATATCACTGCGACAGCTACCGAAAGTCACACAGCACCATTCGGCACGACTATGACTTTTGGAAGGGAAGTATTAAAACTGCTCACAACCGTAAATTGGTGACCACAAAGACACAAAGCACTTGCGTCAGAGCTTCCAACACAAGATTACCATAGCTTGAACAGCGTGATTGACAGTCCCCGAAATCGCCATCACAATGACCATGCTCCTACCAAACCTCAACATCGACATCAGCAGAGGGAGCAGCAGCAGTAGTTTCACGCCCATAGCCCCAACAGTCATAATCACTGTCATCAATCACTTGACTATAGGCTCAAGGTTCGAAATCATCGCATCCTCGCCAGCATGATCTGCGTGTTTATCTGGATTCCCGTCTTAAGGGTTATCTTCACTGTTATGATCAATTTTCAGCAGAACGGCCCCTCATGCTGAAAAAAACTGTACCCATCTCCCTGCCTCCTCAGATGAAAACTCAAAGTCTATCTCGTCGCCACGCCTTGTGCGAGATCACTCGTTTCGACTTCCTACGATCTAGTGCCCGGATTGTGACCAGTCCGGTTGAAACAGTTTCGGGCCTGTCATCCTCAACACCCAGGTCGGAGACCCGATCCAGCTCGACCCATGCATGTACCGCAGTTCGGCCCCTGATCGCGGAGGTCGGCTTGCCGAAGAGATGCACATGTCTCAACCTGAGCACAGATTTCCCGGCCCCTCTGATGCACAACGTAAAGAGCATTCCCTTCTTACGGATAGCCAGATCTGCAAGCTCTGCAAGCTCTACGGGCACCAGTGGCAAGCGCTCTCGGCGGCTGGGTTTGCACCGGTTTGCAATCCACAGATCTGAATGCAAAAAACCATCTCACTGACTATGGGTATAGACGCATGCAAGTCAAGCTGTCAAAGAGGAACAATAGTCAGGAACAGCGGCCGAATAAACGGCTATGTTGATGGCTACAGCAACTTTTTTCCCTGGGGGGTGTTGTCCAAACATGGCATTAGAAAGCAACGCTGCGCACTCCTTCGCGACATCTGTATACTCGACCTGCAAATATCGGGGATTTAATTCCAGGATGCGATCACGAACAACTTTCGGTGATCAACTTCATGTGCTGCCATGACTCATACTGATGAGAACCCAAGGGGGTCCTGCGAGTATCCGTCAGCTGAAACGACCCCGTGCTCAGGCCGGGACAAAGTGGTCTGTTGATCCTCCAACTCTTTGTAAAACTCTTCGTTCTTGTACGGCGTGCCCGAAAAATGTGGAAATATTCCCATTCTGTGCAATCCATGCGCAGTCTGCTCGAAAAGGTTCGCGGGAGCCTCCACAGAAGTGATGCGCCTGCACACCATGTGTTGTAAAAGAGCCCGAACCATGTCACCCACAATCGACGACCGACTGACACAGAAACAGTCATTCAACACAGCTATTCCAGGTCCAGCGCCGTGGACAGACTGCGGTGGCACGAACCATCAGCAGTCCACAATGTGCTCCAATGATGCGCATGCGACACAGTAGACTAGAATACAATGCTACAGAAGTTAGCCGCATGTCTCATGTCGACGGTCCTACACGGCAGCAACCAACACACACACACACATACACACACACACACACATACATGCACACACACACACACACACCAAAACACGCGCAACCGACCTACGCAAACACGCAAATGAACCAACAAATGAACTTCACTCGTCTCTCAGCTCCTCCGAACTGCAGCTACCATAGAAACGAAGCAGAAGCCATGCCTGGTGTGCATAGCACCGTGAATGTCTTCCACCCATCCCTCTGCCAAGTCAGGACGGAAGCTCATGTCCAGGAGTTGGAAGACCTGGGAGTTTCCGAAAATGGGGGACTCTATAATATACTACCCTAAAGAGTAGGATCTTTACTGTAAGGACCGCAAAATGAGGTCCCCTCATTTTCGGAAACTCCCACCTGGTACGGCAAAGTTAAGCGGCAAAGCTGCCAAGCACCAGGGAGAGAATTCATGGCCCGCTGAAGCCAGTGAGGCGCCGAGATCAGGCGGATGCTTGGGAGATCCCGTCGATCATGGGTTGAATACCAGCCCAGACACTCGGAACCCGGCCGAGCTACTACTTGAAGGACGTCTGAAGCGCTGAGGATGTCTTGAATGCTGCCTCCTTGAAGGAAGAGGTCCGCAGCATACAATAAACCCGGGCCAGTCTCGAGTCTGGCCCCTGGGACTGCATTTTCCGCTGCTTTCAGCTTCTCCTTTAAGATGTGCTTGGCCTTGTCACAAAATTGCGAACAAATCTCACCGTGAAAGAACTTGACGACGGCGACCTTCTCTCCTGCACGCCATGCATCTTCAACACGCTGAATTTGCCAACGCAAGCCCATTGTGCCATCCACCGCCCTCACGGCACGTTCAGCCTTCGATGGCAGGCGAGCCGTAATGACTTAGGCAATGGTGAACAGTCACTACAAGCGCTTGCGACAGAAAACCATTCTTCAGCAGTTTTTGTCCGCATCGCCTCGCGGATGACAGTGTTCACAAAAGCTTCGTCTGCCAGGGCAGGCAAGCCTTTCAAGTAGAGCGTCCCGCCCTTCACGAAGCTGCGAGCGATAGCCCTTGATCTCGAGGCTCCACAGTGCCGTCCCAAGTAATCGCACGCTTGACCTTACTTCTCCAATAAGCCACAGAAATGAAAAATACTTTCCAGTTGCAAACTATAAAAACCTAAAAGGTCGGGCATTGACTCTGCAAGTGACAGTAAAGCTGATCGTGCGTGGCATGGTGTTTCCGCTTCAACTGCTCCACGATGCCAGCCAATGGAAACTTGCTCATAGCCTCCATATCAGCCTCTTCAGTCGCTATGAGCACCAGATGATTTTCTTTCTCTACATTGAGTCCTCTGATGCCATTCTCATGGCAGTCTTTTGCTAAGTATCTCCGGTCCCCCTTCGTCTCGACGGCGCAATGGAGCTTGCGGAATCCTGAGAACGAACTCGACAAGGCAGATATGATCATCCGAAGGATCGTCAGTGGGCTACTGCACTGTATGATACTATAAGCCTAGATTTTCCAATGAACATAAATTTCAGAACGACTGTGCTCAGAAAGCTCCAGCATCGACTGCCGTGGAAAGCCACGCTGTGCAGGAAGCTGCCTCGACTCGCTTCAAAAGGGGCCTGCGAGAAAGCATGGCTCTGCTTCTTGTAAACCACATCGATGCCGTGACCTTCGGTAAGTTGCAGCACCATTTCACATGCCCGCACAATGCGAGTCATCGCAGGGATGAGGCGCTCCCTCTCCGGGCCAGGTCTGCGCCACTCCTGCCCAAGCCATGTGCTCAATGTGCACCTGCCAAGGTTCAGTTCCTCCAACAAGTCCCGCGCAACGAGAAGGAGGCAGCCGATGCTCTTCTCGTACAGCGAAGCTGTCAACGAGTGGTAGCACTTAAGAAGATCCAAACCATTCGGGTCAACTCGGCACAGCAGCCCTCGAGCACGGGGCATCTCCGCAATCCTAAGGTCGGTGGGTCCGATTTCCGTCAAGGTAGGCCACTCAACTTCCGTTCCATCCAAGCCCACGCTGTTCTTGGCATGTTGATCCTTGCATCTGGGACAGATTCTGTCCGCCCCGCTGGCGCGCGAAGTGAACCCATGACCACTGGGACAGACATAGAAGTACCTCAATGTCAGCAGGCACTACGCTGTTCAAACTCCGATGCTGCTACATTTTGCGACAACAAGTTATAGGGCACCTGGATCCTAGGCTCCGTGAGAGCGTGAGGTACGTCCTAAGTCAATAAGTCTGCATCTTCATCCGTGTCTCATAAACCCTAAACCCTAACCCTAAACCCTGCCGGCCTCGTTCCCCTTTCGCTCTCTGTCTTTGCATGGGCCGCCAGCTCGCTCTCGATACATTGCAACGCCCAATGGCAGTCCTGGATCTTGAGGGTTCAAGGGTTCAGGGTTTCGGGGTTTCGGGGTTTAGGGTTTAGAAGTTTTGGGGTTTGGGGTTCTTAGTGGTTTAGGGCCTATTAGGGGCTCAGGGTTTGTTTGAAGTTGTCTCTTAGGTGATCGACTCAACCCACAATTCTGACTGTTGCACTGCCTTCAGCTCCAAACGCGAAATTGCGAGCTGTGATCATGCTCTTCTCTTGCTGCCTGCCCTTGGGTTCCTGTAAAGGGATCGATGTGGGTACTGCAAGGGTTTTTTCCCCTCGGATTGCTTGGAAGTCTATGCCCGCTCGCGAGGTTGAAAGAGTTTCCCGATAGCACCACAGTCATGCAAGTGCCGCCTTCAGGCGGAGTCATGAGGAATTGAGGACTGTTGCTCTCTTTGCAACCTGTGCGCGGCAAAATATTCGATATCGCTCCAAAGCCTTCAAGCACTCTGTGCAGCAGAATGTAGCAGTAGATTACCCACTGTTCCTGCCATACTTGAGGTGTACTGTCATGTAACCTCGGACACTCGAAAAGCATACAGTGACTTCAGGGATGACTGCTTACCATTTAAAGGACCGTATGCAATTTTCAGGCGACGGGATCCTGTTTGCACTGTGTGTGCTCCACTTGGCATATTCCGGAGGGTGTGTTGCATGGTGCCATTGTTCCTGCCCTATAGGTCGGCCCGTGTCAGGAGTGCAGCGTCCTCTTCAGGGCCTAGGCTTTAGGGTTTCCTCAGTGGCCCCTTTATGTAAGGTTACCCTCTTTCCTACTAGTCGGTTTTGATAAAGGAACCGAACCCTAAAAGTAAAAGGGCAAAAGGGTACTACTCAGGAACCTAGGTCTTCAACAGGCTGGTGGTCTCTTTATCTGCTCCTAGCACTGCCTAATGTAGGAATCCCTACACCCGATATGCAGCCCCTTTTGCATCCAGGACTCTTGCAATCAGCCGGGAAAACGCACAAGACAGCGCGCAAACCCTCCAGCAGCCCCTAAAAACAGAAACCCCAAGTAAAGAGACCAACGATCTATGAAATGTTCGTCCCTCCAGTTTCGGAGAGCCGAACCCGAGCGAGGCAAGAATACATGCTCCACCTAAGAACCTCAAGATCGGTGTATCACGTGCCGCAAATGCAGTTCGCGGCACGCAGAAAACCCATGGCAAAATCGCGCGTCCGCCTGAATGTTGCCGTGATACTTTCAATTTTCAACACCATTCCCGTCCTGCAAACCCTTGCATTCCATCATCTCCTTCGAAACTCTCGTGAACAGCACCTGAAACCCTTGTGCACAGAAACCCTAAACCCGCCCTTGAAGCTCAAGTCGAGAACTCCACTATTGGGGGTTGTTCTAAATTATGGTCCCGTTTTGGGCCCTATAGTAGTATAGTCCTTATTATATAGGGTACCCAAAAAGGGACCATAATTTAGAACAGCCCCCTATTCCGGCCAAGCCGCATCGCAGTATGGAGGCCCCCCTTCCCAATGAACCTTCTGAAGCTGTCAGCTGGGGCTTGGTGCCAATGCTTCTATCATCGTCAAGCTTTCTTACAACCACCCTCTTTTGGGGGGCTCCATTTTCTAGTTATAGTATGATATTCCCCAAAACCCTAGTTATTAATAAGGCTTCTATATAAGACCATGCACAGAACGTTGCGCTCCTTTAACATGGAACCCTAAGCACCCCCAAGCCCGAACAACTCAAAACAGAAACCGTCTTGCACAGAACTTTGTGCGGGGTTCCGCTAATCCCCAAATCCTAAACCCCTCTAAACAGCAAGGGAAAAATACTAATCCTCTAAACCCTAAACCCCTCCAAACCCTAAACCCCTCTAAACTCTAAACCCTTCTGAACCCTAAACCGTTTTGAACCCTAAACCCCTCTAAACAGCAACCGCGGCCCTCGCCTTTGCTTCGCGATGGTGGATGCACATCGCCGGCCCCGCATCTTCCGCAAGAATGCCGTCTTGGTCATCCTGCTCCGGGTGGGTTCACGGAATTAGGGGTTTCGGGGTTCGGGGTTTAAGGGTGTAGGGTTTAGAGGTCACGCGATAAGCCTGCTGAGATTGCCACTTGCACACCGCAGGACGTGTCGCAGCATAGAACGGGTTTAGGGTCACAGTTTAGGGTTGCGGGCTGTTGTGGGTTGAGGGTTTAGGGTGGACAACGGGTGGGTGGATTTTGGTGCTCGCATGGAGCCCAATATCATGCGCGACATGCCTCTCAAAAAGAATCTCTTGGAAAAAACCGCTATTTCCAGCAACAGCCGGTTGAATCCATACCCTAGACTGTACTGAGTATTGAGGCCCCCAATCAATTGTACTCCAATGCCGTGCTACCGTTGCAAGCAAACGATCATGGTTTTAGGATTTTGGGGTTCCGGGATTTAGGGTTGAGGGTTCAGGGTTTTTTTTATCCCTCCTACTTTATTTCGGACGAAGGTTTGGGTTTTAGGGTTTACGCTCTCGCAACTCGGACATGTCCAGACGAGGTTCTTGGTGCGCGGTTTAGGGTGCAGGGTTTAGGGTTTTGGGTATGGGTTCAGGGTTTCGGCGCTCGCACTCGGACAATCAGGGTTTAGGGTTACGACACTTCTCCCCGAAGGTGCCGGCTAGGAGATGGAGAAAAACGGAAGCAAAACCAAATTTGCATCGGGAGACACTTAGGCACAGCAAGCACTGCTGGCGATGAACGGACCAAGCCCGACTCAGGTAGCCGAACAGCATACTACTTAGACGGAACATATACAGCTTGCTATAGGCCGACATGAAACCAGAAAACAAATCTTAATTTCAAGTCTCAGTCCGTCACAATTCATTAACCTACACAAGGTTCCATCCCAAATTGATGAACGACCTGTCTGTAGGCAGTGGTAATCACATGACTCCCTGATAGCTTTCTAGCTTTCCACGCGAAGCACTCATCAATGTACTTCCAACCTGTGCATCAGCGTCATCCCATAGTTCTTCTGCCATTGCGTTGGTGGGCACTGCTACTACTACTTCCCAACAATGGAGCCCGGAAGCAAGCATTGAACGTGGTTCCAAAGGATCGCAAGTTCCTCTCCTTGTCTATTTCTGATTAGAATGCGCTAGTGGCTAGAATGCGCAAGGGATGATCTTCAAACAAGCATTTGCGTGATCCGTTCGCACACGCAAACGATCGTGGAACTTTGTAATATGTTGTACTGCATCCCAACCAGAGCCTGAGAACGCAGCTGCAGCTGAATCATCTGTAGCAAGAGTCACCCCAAGATAGCATCCTGAAGCCCAACTGCGCTTCAAGAAGCATGACAAGTCAGCCCGTCAAGTCCGCGCATCTTACTCAAGAACTGCGCTCACGTAAGGCTACTGTAGACACTGCACTCACGGAGACTTGGAACCCATGCTCGACATCAGCAGCCCCTTCTTAGGCTGAGAAGTTCGCCTGGAGAAGTGGAGGAGTCACACCCCTTTACGCCTGGGTCAGCTAGGTCTGTGCAAAATCTGCCAGGAATCGAGGAACCGAATGTGCTGCTACAAACCATGCCCGTAAAGGGTACCTACGACTACCATCACAAAGCAGGTGTAGACAGCTGATCTACACTACACATGCCCCGAGGAACAGCACAAAATACAAAACACATCTATGTATAGATCGTCTCACTTGACATGCCTGGACGTGCTCCACTAAAACCAAAATTCCTGACTCCACAGCCCCAAAACCGTACGGCCGCCCAGACAGAAACATTTACAGCACAGCCCGAAAAAGCCACAGGCAGTTCATGGCTTTGTTTTCTAACCACGTGGCACTAGCATGCGTCGGACCAGTTCCAGAAGCACGACCTGGCAAGTGGTGTACTACTACAGGGCAGCCGAGTTTTTGCAGCTTAGTGTTAGGGGTGAGATCGTCCGGTTACAACGTTAGGCTGAACTCAGGCTAAAAGCATGACACAGAGATTCGGCCGCCAAATGACCAGCGGCAGATGACAATCCAATGACGACGGCGAGACTGATGGATCACCCACGCAGTAACAACCCCGCTCCTCGTAAGAGCATCGTCGTGGCCCGTGAAGCAACAAGCGGCTTACAATAGCAGAGTTCACACAAAGAGGCACGGTAAATCGAAGCTTTCCTAAATGCCCAGACCTAGCCCATCCGTGTTAGTCTGAAATGTTGTCCTCTGGCGTCTCCTCCTCCTCCGCGGGTTCATCCATCCCTATGATGCTCTTTACGGACATCGCTTCTCACTGCAGAGAGAGGCCGCCGGGCTCTAGAGTATAACGGGTGTGGTAGTGACAGCCTTGAAACTTAGTGCTCCAAACTCCATGCCTCTCCAATCTGGAGGTTGCTGACCCCAAAACCTTACGTAAACACTCAAGCCCTACAAACCCTGAAAGCCCTATCAACGAAAAACCCTTGCAGCTCTATGACATCGGGGAAAAAGGTCTTGGGCTCAGGACCCAAGCGCAAGAACAACTGGCTCCTACGATTCGACGATTGCCCCCGAAACCCTAACCCCAACCCTATTCCCCAAACCCCAAACCCCTAAATCTTCCGGAAGCTTCGCATGATCTGGAAACAGCAC